AATTGAATTCCTGCTTTTTAACAGCTTATTTTGATGCAATAGCCATTTAATTATTTGCAGATAAAGTAGTATGTATTTTTTTTTTTCAAAGTACATGTTCTTACTTAGACCATGTCCTGCCCTGCATCAGTACTTCTCAAGGTGGTCAGGAGGGGAAGAGGCAGAGCAGGGAACAGAGCCAGGAGGGCAGCTGGAGTGAAATGGCTCAAGCAGCAGTTAACACACAGGAAGAAGGTGAGATGGTTTAGAGGAAGCTGTACACGTCTTTGGCTAATCCTGTCCCTACCACACCTCTTCTTCTGCTCCTTAAAATTTGTTCTTCCAGGAGCATGGATGTTCTAGGCAAAGGTATTTTCAGAAATGATATGGAGTATTGCAGTTGTGCTTTACTGATTGGGAATTTCCATGTTTAATGTAGAGGAAGTAAGATTTCTCTTCTCCTCTGCTTAAAGCATGAAGGGACTGTTGTCTTTTCTTATTGAATAGTAAACACAAAGGCAGAGAGGGCATTTCCTGTGTGAATGTTAAATACAGGTGAGTACAAATACAAAAGAGTGGTTCATCTGGAAATACTACAGAAATCAATTTCTGGCTGCCCAGTATTGAAAACATGCTGATACATGCAAATACACAAGAAAATGAGTATGCCATGAGAATAATTTCATCAGCTGTTGTGCTCAAGTTGTCCCAAGCAGGGACAGGTAGCTTTAAAAGAAAATTTTATCTAGTAATTCTCTGATGTGGAATGATTACTCCTTGTTTTTCATGCATACATCTACAAAAGGTAATGCCAATTAACAATTTGGGGTTAAGATTTTCAAAGCAAGTTGGATTTTAAGGTACTTCTGTGTTGTGCTATATTCCAGTCTATTTCTTCTTTTCCAGTTTGGCAGAAGACCCTGCTTCACAAAGTTGTTTTGCTGATGTTATTTTACGTATGAAAAAGCTGCAGTGTGACATAAATAAACTAGAATGTGTTAGAGCAGAGTTTTATAATGAATTGGAAAAGTAAATAATAAAAGTGGTATCAGTTGAACACTCAGTTAAACAATGCAGCTGTAACTGCATTGTAATTAGCTCAAATAAAAATAAATTTCTATTATATCTGGAATTAATTTGAAATACTGTCACCTGCAGTAGAGTGCTGCATGCTGCCTGAGCTTTGACTTGGAGAAATTTCAGTTGAGCAGTAAACTAGGGTTGCAAAAGTAATTTGTCTGACACTAAGGTACCACTATATATTGATGTTTTCCTCTGTCTGGTCTTTCGTGTATGTTTATAGGACCTTTCCCAGAGCATTCTCCTGTGCTTGCTGTAATCAGCAGAATTTTGAGCAGCTCTTAAACACAAAAGTGCAAGGTGGTTTTAATATTAAAAAACCTATGTGTTTTACAATGATAATTTACTGCTATACCTATGCTAGTTAGTTTATTTTCCTTGGACTTAGCCATTTTAGTGAGTTCCTCTTGATTGTTTAATGAAGTCTAATTTTTCATTTGCTTTAATTAGTTAATTGAGCAATCAGTACAGTGCCTTGGTATAGCAGACTGTTCATAGGATAGTAAGTAGGATCAGATCATGCAAATGCCTGCCTTTGGGTTCTGGCAACAGGTTTAAAATTGCATTAGTATATTTTGCCTTTGTAGAATTCTTTTACCAGATGGTAGCATTTGATTTCCTTTTGAATAGTCCATAACACCCAAATGTAGTTGTACATTCTTTTAAAATCAATACTACTTAGGTAAACACAAGTGGGAGGATAGTGTATCAACTTTCAACTGAGAAATTCGTAGTTGTTTTCTATACTCAACGTGTAATGTAGAATTTTTTTTTTGAGAAAAAGATTGTCATTAAACATTCTCCAAAAGGGGGAATGATAGTGCACAAAAAAAGTTACAGAAATGTTGATGGGTGTTTTTCTTGGAATCTGGGCAGTGATTTGTCTTGCTAGTTGTTTGAACACTAGTTCTAGTGTTTAGCCAGGGCTGAATGTGTTAAATACTCTTACTGATAATTAAGGCGAGGTCTATTATTGCGTACCAATTATGAAGAAATAAAATCTGACATTTGAAGGAATAGCTATTAAGTTTACCAGCTTCAGGCAAAGGCTTATTTTATTACTATCCCTCTCATGCTCAGCAGAGAAAAACTCCAGTACTAGGTTCCTGAGGCCTTTCAATGTAGAAAAAGAACAGCTGGCTTCCCACTTCTAAGCATAACCTTTGCAAATTCTCTTCTTCATTTTGGAGATGTCTTAATTGTGGAGACCAAAATGATGCAGTGTGGTGCACTGCATGTAGACTGGATTTAGATGGATGCATATTGGGGAAAAAAGTTTGTTCCCACTGATAGTTTCTGTTCACTGTGAAATGCTGTTCTGTAAACTGGCTGTTCAAGAGCTTGTTCAGGAATAGGCTTCATGCATGTCTCTCAAGGCAATGGCACAATACATCAGATGGGGATGTAAATAATAGGGCAGGTAATACCTGGTAGGTCTTGATATCCAATTTCAGTGTGCTGACAGAGATGGAGTGGTGCTAAACCCAAAATGTTACAACCATACCAGGTTTTATGTCACTCCTCAGCCAGAAGACTGTATTTATTAAAATTAAGTGTCCCATTAATAAGTGACTCACTTGTATTTAGATTGCTTTCATCCTCTGGCGTCTCAGATGCTTGTAAAGCCTCAGGTACTTTTCTTAAACTTGCATTTCCTGCTGGTGGCCGAATTCAATCACTGCTCTGTCCTTCAAGAGGATTTTTTTCAGCTTATGACATTCGCCTGTCATAATTTATTAATAAAGTATGAAATTGCCTTAAGAATATGTAAAAATGCAAAAGCCCTGTCAGTGAACAAAGCAGAAGCATCTGGATGTGAACTGGGGGTATTGGATTCTAACTTTTGCTGAAATTTTGGCAGTAATTTTAGGGTTTGTTTCTCATGCAACATGGTTATGTCCGGAGCCCTGACCATGCTCCTTGGAGTGTAAAAGGCAGCCTTGTTTTTAGTGGTTGTGTGACATATCCTTTAACTACTATTTTGAACTAGCATTTTAAAAGCAAATGATAGGTTTGTGAAAAAATGAAGGCTTGGTTATATCCAGAAATAAACTCAGCTGTTTAGCAGCTATGCCCATGATGGCTGTGGGATCTAGAGGTCAGGTCTAGCTGGAAAAAAATTCCTTTTTCAGCATCATAAAATAAAGAAAAAATGGCCAACAACCAGTTGTGAGTGAATACAGATGTTGTTTACAGGATTTATTGTATAGTGATGGCAACACATGATGAAGATGCTGTTTTGTAGAGTTCACAGGCTGTGGTGAAAGGCTGGAAGTAAATAGAAGTAAATGTGATAGTGGAGGTTTTAGAACATAACTTTCTGTGCGTAGTTAAAAGAAGTTACTATGTTCTGTTCATGGGAGAAAAGTAAATCACAAGTTTTCCTGTAATTTCACATTAAAGTTGCCAAGGAATAAGACAACTTGCTGTTAACTAAGACCAGCAGCATTCTCAAAGAGATCACAGCCAGCCTTTTCCTTCCCTCCAAACTTTTCTAACCTGTCCTTGGAGGCAGTAAAAAGCAGGTCATATACAGCGTGTGCTGACAAATCCTCTGAGGGGCAAGAATTCTTTGCTTTTCTGCTCATAGTTGTATAGCATTCTGGTGGGCCAGTCACTCTTTTTCCTTGCTGCTGCTTATGACAAAGGGATCTGTAGCCTTCATTGTTTGTGAGAAATTTTGGATCTTCTTTTTCCTTCAGATATGGGAAAAGAAAAATGTGGGACGCTTTGCCAAGCTTTCCCTAGATTTCTGGAGTTTGTTGCCAGTTTGTTCTTTGCTGTTTGGCAGGCTTATTTCTTACATGCTGAGAGAGGCAAGTTGCACCTTGGTGGTATGAGATTACTTTTTACAAATTTTGGAATCACTAAAACGTGTCAGTTCAGTATGTGAATGAATTTTGGAGGAGAGTAACGAACAGCTAGGAAAAGTGACCCTTTTAAGCTGAGTGGACTCTTCTTATTAGGGTAAGGACTATAAAGTAGGTTTAAAAGAAACCAAAACCAAACCAACAAAAGAAAAAAAACATGAAAAAAGGGACCAATTCAACATATTTAAAATGGCACCATTAGCCATTCAGAGTGTGCCAACCTTGGCAACTTTCCTGGTTAGCTCAATGAGTATTGCGGTATTGCGTGCAATCAAATAGTCCCTTTTAATTGGGAGTTTATTTAGCTGTATAACTTGAAGAGCATAAGATTTGAATATCTTGGCCTTTGCATCTTTTTCACTTGCAGATCAAAATTATTTCAAAACAATTTTCATGTGATTTTTTTAATAGAAAATAAAGTTCCTTAACAGGAAGATCTGTAATGTTACAGTATCAGCAGGGTCAGCCTTTAAAATACAGGATGATAAATGGAGACTAAATGTATTTGTTGGTTATTTGAAAGCCATATGCTCAGCCACACGAAAAGAGTGAACACATTCATTTGTCTCAAATGGCAAGAGATTGGATTTCTGCTCACATGCCTTAACATGCGCTGTTGCAAAAATACAGATATTTGTACACCAGATGAAGTAGATACAAGTATCCATTAGTCATATGCCCCACTGCATGCATGTACATATGTGTGTGTCTTTACATGTGTATCCATACATGTATATATGCACACTCCTAGTATAGTCTTGGCTTTGAATCTGTCTTGCACTTCTAATTTGATCATGAGATAGACTCCCTTCTTGTTTCATAAGTTAGGGAAGATGGATAAAGAGCTTAGAGAACAGTGTGTGGATCCCATGAAAAATTGTTCTGGTCTTCAATCTTCCCTGCATTGCAAGTTGGAGAAAGGCTGGTTCCAGTCTGCAGCAGCTGTCTCCTTTCATACTGAATAACAGAAATAAGCATAATAAACTAAAAGTCTGTGTAGTAGATCCTGATGGTTTATTCAACTTGTATACAAAGTGTTTTGATTAATTTTAGTTTTATTTTTTCTTACAGGAAATACTGGCTAGATCCCACAATGGAAGACGGGAAGCCCGTTTGGGCTCCACACCCAACTGATGGGTTTCAGATGGGGATGATTGTGGACATTGGCCCTGACAACTTAACTATTGAGCCTTTGAACCAGAAAGGCAAGGTAAGTGTCTCACAAACAAAGGAAAAGAGAGAAAACATACAAGAAACCGACTTACCTGTAGGCCAGGTCTTTAACAGTACCTTCAACTGCACACAGCCTGAAGGAGTGGAAAATCAGTTTTCTGTTCTAAGTTTGGCTAAGGATCTTTGTTCAGCTTTAGCTTGTATTGCAATGGGCCCCTCACACTGACTAGAAGTGCTTACTTCATCAGTTATCTGCATGTGCATTACTATGTAGTCATGAAAGAGAGGAGGTTTGAATCTCTGTAGCCATTTGATTCAGTACTGTATGCTTTCTTTTTCTCAATTAGACACTGATTAAGAGCCTGCTGTTGAGATTAGCTTCTCTCTTTTTCCTTACATGCATAGGAAGGGTCCTACAGGGATGTGCTGGGCCCTGGATAAGATTAGACCATTAGACTGATGAAGACTGAGAGATGAATCCTCTTAACTCAAGTACCTTGAGAAGTAATATGATGTCAAACAAAGGTCCTATGGAATTGCTACATCAAATTAAAGTCAAAATAAATGTAACTTTTAAAATTAAGACTACCAATTCATCTTAATTAGTGTGCTCCAATGGCTTGATTTATCATGACGTCTTTCAGACTCAGTATGCTGTAACTAAATGTCAGTTTTTACAGGAAGCACCTTGCAGCTATCAATTACCCTAATTCAAATGGTCAGATTCCTGGGTTGTACTAGCTAGAATAAGATTAGTACTGCCTTAAAAGTTGTGATTTCAGTCTTTTTGAATATATTTTTGTGCCCTTTCTAATAGTTTTGTTTTTTCTTTATATTCAAGGATGTAAAAATTACAACAATGTGTTTTGTAACTTTTTTTTTATGTCAGCAGTAGGAGAGAATGCCTTGTCACAGGTCAAAAGGTTATGCAGCAGTCCTTCCTTTTGGGGGAATGTTTATAGGCTTTCTTTTTTGTGCATCTTGGAGAGGAAGTTGATTTTGCCTTCCTTAGAAATACAAAGCAAATGTAACATCCGAGTTTTGAGTGAGAGAGATAAAGTCTGTAGGTTTAGTAGTAGTAGTATTAATTTGTTAGTTTGAGGAGGAGCAAGATTATTCAAACAAGGATATTAAATATTCCAAATCTATGGCTAATATTAAAATGACTTTAATAAATTTCACTCCTACTGCTATTTCTGTTCATATTTCCCAATGGTTCTGAGGTCATAAAGAGCAAAAGCCTTTATACTGAAACAGAAACATTAGTAAGGATAAGGATATTTCTGAGTCATTATTTATTTCTAACATGTGCTCCTTTCAGGGACCATATATAATTAAAAAAACCCAACAAAACAACAAAGAAATGATCCTAAAATACGAATAATTTGTTTCATGGTTTTCTCAACAACAACAACAAAAAAATCTCTTTTGTCTAGGGAGTTTGTTATTCTGCTGTTGGCTGTTTTGAACTAAGTAGATCAATTAAGAGCCTAATGTTCATTCATCTAAGGGAACAAACACTTCTTAGTCTAAATGTTGTAAAGATTATGGTTCTATATTTTTAACTATCAAACTTAATTAATTAACCTTATATTAATAAAGATGGAGTAAAAGGTTTTCTTGGTTACCTTCTCAGTCTTTTCAAGGTGTCATTGATTTTGTTTTAGAGAAACATTTCTCATTGTTTTTTGACTTTTTAAGATTACTCTGTCCTTGTGCACTTAGACCATTCATTTGAAGTAGTCAGCATTAATACTCATTATCACTTTGTTTTCTTAAAATGGTAGTTCAGAAGTGCTCTTCAGAAAGAATGTGTGATAGCAGCTCCAGAGTTGCCCATGATAATTACAGGGAGGAGAGGAGTAACCTGATCTTGTAAACATATCCGGGCAGTGTAACTTATTATTATTTTTTAATCTGGGTCATTACCATGTCATATGTATTCTCTGTAGGCACTGGTAGCTTACCAGAGGTCACAGTCTGAAAAGGAAATGTGTATGCATGTGTTTGATTATTGCCTTTTATGACACTCTTGTCAATAACTGCAGAATGTGCTGCAAGGCAGCAGTTTCACCATGTCTTAAATCCCTCCCTCCCTCCCTCCCATCCCCACCCGTAGCCAGCTCTGGCACTGCAGAGTGGCACTGTCCCAGCTCTGCCTGCGTGACACCCCAAACCAGGTCAGAGAACAGATCTGACTTGAAGAAGTGGAAAGTTTTCAGGATGGCAGCAAGCAGTGCAAGGGGGGCAGAGGAGCTGAGGCCATTGTGGTGGCAGGTTGCTTCACATTATGAAACCAAGTTACCCAGCCCAGACTCTGTGAAGGTCCAACACACCGATTCACTTAAGCCCCAGCAGTGGCAGTTTTGGGTACCACAGCCTATCCCCAACTGTTTACTGTTGTGTGCAGAGGCTGTGTGTCTAAGAGAGGTGGGGATCTGAGTCAGCCAGCCTGCCCTGCACAAAGAACATACTGCAAGCCACAGGAGCGTTTTACTGGAACAGAGGATGCATGTGTTACGTGATGGGAACCTCTTCCCAAAAAGTAGATCATTGGCTTGCAAGGCTTATAAATGCCAGGACTGGAAAAAAAGCCAGAGAAACTGGAGATTCATTTGCTAACAAGCATGGTTCCATCTAGAGGTGGAGTCCTGCCCTGAGAATGGGCTCCAAACTGGATGGGTGGTACCAGAGCTGGCAGTCCTGGCCCATGGCCCGTCAGCAGTCACATGCTGGTGGTACAAGGAGGAGGCAGGCAGAGAAGGAACTAGCTGTCAAACTCAACTACTACTGATTGCACCTTCATTTCTCCTTATAGTGCTCTTTTCTGAATGTACTGGGATTCGTAATCTTGGATCCTGTTGCACATATATTTTTGTTCTTTGAGGCTAAAATAAGGAGAAGGCAGATGACAATGAAATTGCCAAATAGGGAGTTTACTCTTTTCCTGGAGGTTGAAAATGTAAATAAAGTGGTTAGGAAGAGATACACTTGCACCCTGAAATGCCATTCTGGGCACCATGGGGCACTGAGGAGTAGGGAGCAGGCACTTCTTAGAGCATCAGCAGTCATGAGTTTCTGGCAGTCACTGGGAAGGTGTGAGGTGCTGCAGGCACTTGCTGACACCCCTCCTGCCATCGACTGAGAGACACCTTATGGCTCTGTGCCACTTCTGAAGGGTTATGGAAGGTTTTATGGGCCACCTGCTCTGGTATGCTGTGAATAACCAGAAAGGTATTTTTCCCAGCAAAGTATAAATGAATAAGTGTACTTTGAAGGTAAGATCAGAATGTTCAAAGTTCAGTGCTTCAAGCTAAGGTGGTTTATTTTGTTAGGGTTGTTTTTTTTGGTTTTTTTTAAACAGTGAGCGCAACGTGCTTGCTCAAGTGAGACATGCTCTTGTCTGTCTTACACACAGTTTGTACTGCTGTAGGTTGGTTTGTGAAATACAGCTGACAGTAGGGATGTCTCCTGTCTGTATCTGGAAGGTATAAAGGAAGGCATGGTTACACATATTGGATTACATGGTAGAAAGAAGATCCTGCTTGAATGGAAAGATATCTTTTTTCACTCATCTAGTTTCTGGGAGAATAGTTAAGATTGCCATTGGATTTCAAGGGTTGCTTCATTACAAAGATGACAAAAAAACCCCTTCAGAATGCCCTAAACATTGTTTGGCTTCCAAAGACCACTTTATTGTCTCATAATATTAATACACTCTCCACTTTCTTAGAATAAGCTTGTCCTAAACTATGACTAATGCAAAAGCCTTCCCTCAAGTATCTGAAGGGTTTTTTTCTTAAAATAATTGTTTAAAAAAATTAAAAATGGGACAATATAGTAAAGAATTTCTTTGGATATTGTCTTATTGATAAATCTAGGATACCTTGCTCATTTTCTGTCTAAAATACTGGATTTTGGTACTTGGAGCTCTGCACATCTAGCTATCATACTCATATGTAAGGTATGCAAGAAGTACCTTATTTTACATAAAGCAGTGTTCCAATTGTGACATACAGCAGTGAATTTATTTTTGTTGTTGACACAATTGAAACTATACCTATGTTCTTATCTAAAGAAATCCAACAGAAAAACATGAGCTTTCAGATAGGAGATGATACAGCATGAATTCTTTGAATTCTTCCCCCCCTCCCCCCTTTAAATTTATCTTGAATCAGAAGGTTGAGTGGTGAGGACATTGAAAAAGCCCTTTTTCCTCTTCTGGTATAGTTCTAGCATGACTGACTTTAGCTCATGTTAAAGTATCAGAAGTTTATGAAGAATCTCACAGAATAGTTGGGAATCATGTTCCTTCTATCCTGCCTTTGTTAGTGGTTAGTGGGTTTACACATCAGCAGACAAGAACAAGAAGTGAAGTTACATTTTTGTGAAGCTGGTCATATTATTTTTAAACTTTCCCACTGTTTCATGCACAGGGAACTGATCAGTTCGGAACTGTTGTATTCAAATACATCTTTACCAAACAAGATTTACCTTTACTGTTGACAAACTTGTAGAGAAAATTATGATGATAATTTGTAGTTAATGTAATACTGTGAGAGGGAGGAAAGGGTGTGGTGAATCTCTGCCCTGCTAAAACTCTGAATAGCAGCAGGCCTCTTTCTGAGGTTGGTAAAGACGTTGAAGGCTTCCATGGCCCTCACAAACTTTGATAAAGGATATTTTGGAGGAAGTTGGTGTGATGGATGTTCAGATGTTCCAATGTCATTGAGCAGCTTTGTTTCCCTTAGGAAAACATCTTGTACGTATTTTTCTGCATTAGATCCTGATAAGGGGATGACAAAATATATTTTATTATGGCTACAAATTGCATACTTTATGATAACTTGGTAGGGAAGGGATATTGTAGATTTAATATTTTCCATCTGGCAGCAATTAGTTCTGCTCTGAGACATTTTTAACCCTTTCCACTTCAAAGAGAGTTGGAATTTGTGGCTGTTAATGATGGTGTAAGCCTCAGGACCTCTCATGCTGTTGTGCTTAAGCAAATATGAAACAAGTTACTGTCTTTCTCCTAAATTTCCCTGTGAAATCTTTATCATGGGACTACCTTGCTGAGTACAGTGTTAAACAAGCAAACATGTTTGTTTATTAAGTTCATTCTTTAAATCCAGTTGGTTGCCTTTTCAAATATTAGACTAGACTTTTTGTCTCCATTTCCATGGGGAAAAGGAGCCTGTGCCTGCAGTGGCATGGTGGCTGTCATGTTTAATTGGTACAACAGGGGTTTTGTTCATTCATCACTAGCTCAAATGAGCTGTTACTACAGTAAACAAAAAAATATAATTAAAAATCTTCTTTGTACAATAGGTATTTTTGTGCAGATGCTGTAATGCATGTGTGCTTGGGTGTTTTTCCTTCCTTTTTTCAGCAATATAAATTATGACTTCTGGAGATGAAAAAAGAAACAAAGTTGCTTTTGTTATGAATTTTTCCAGTTGGATGTGAACACTTGATAAATGATCGTTTTGTATAACTGGAATACAAGGGTTGAAGGAAGGTCTTGTTTTACTTTGGTATTGATATATTGAAGAAAAAAACCCCAATAAACAACAACCCAAGCTACAGCCTTTGGTGATACAGAGGATGTTATGTGTTGAACATTAATATTTTAAGTAGGAATATTTTAAAACAGCATATCATAATGACAGCACAGTCCTTTGACTGAACGAATTATTTGCATTTTATTCCTTCTTCTTTGCAAAACAGAGGAAATTGTGTGTCATTTATAATGCTGTTATCTCTGCAGTACTCTTTTCAGTCTTATTTTTTGTATTGCACAGTATGACATGCAATTTTTGACCTGAGAATCAAATATTATTGCACTAAAACATATATTACAGTGAATTCATTTTTATAATGTAGTGTAGTTGTATAAATACCGCAGCTTTTTGTCCACATCTAGTAACTCAGTAAAATTTCCAATTCTGCAGTATAAACCTGATGACTTCATTTGAAATCAAGTACAATTACAGTGCATGCACTTGTATGATTGCATGAGATGTCTTTGAACTATGTTTCTATTTTATGGAATTCTGACAATGCTTCTTATCTAACAGACTTTCCAGGCTGCTATCAATCAAGTGTTTCCTGCAGAGGAGGATAGCAAAAAGGATGTGGAAGATAATTGTAAGTTATGAATTAAAAAATAAATGATACATTTGAAAAAAAACCTACAATGAAATGAATATTGTTTCCTTACAAGCTTCCTGTTTCTTCCTTGTCATCTTTGTTCGAATTTATGTATGACCTTTGCTAGTCCTTTAAACCTCTTAAAGGAAGCCCATTTTAAATATAATTTATTGTGGGTTTTAGTTTTCATTTGAACACTTTAGAAGAATGGATAGTTACATAATTCCCATATAGAACTGTTGCTTGACTTCATAAATACTCGATTCAGCATTATGAGTGTACCTGTACTTTTTATAGTGTGGCAAAAGACTCAGGGTCATTATCAGCACCTGTATTTATATAGCATTTTCCTGCATTTAAGGAATTTCTATTTTACTATTCCTGTGGAAGTAGAGGTAATGGAAAATAAATTTTAAGATTACCTTCACAAAACTAGGGATGGGAATCTGGACCTATCAGGAGCACTGAAAATGGATAGACTTGATTTGGATACAGGAGTGCTGGTGGGGAAGGAGTTTTGAAGTGAGCTTGTGTAATAAACATCACTGTTGATCTGCAGGGCTTTTGTTAAATATTTTATAGTTAGGTGGATGGAAACAGTTGTCAAATCTGGGGAGAGAGGAGAGAATACTGAGAAAGCTGAGTGAGTGCTGTGATCAGCTTTTAGACAACTGTTAAATATTTTGCTTTTGCTGCATTCTATGAGCAAATCACAGAGCCTCTCCTGTCTTGAATACTGATGAAGGCAAGTCTTTTAAACCTTTCCTTTAGTGTTTACTGCTTGGTGAAAATATTGAAGACTTTGTAAATAGTGGGCAAAAATATCTTCTATTGTTCTTCGTTTAAAATAGAGGCTAGGGGTCTGGTCTAGGTAACCTCAGTTCCTGTTCTGGAATAGTGTTTAGTATGTATATCCAATGACAGGAAATGCAGCTGTTGCAGCTTCTCCATAAGAAACAGAAAGATGGGATCTGACTTAGATGGTGTCCTTAGAACCAGGCTGGTAGCCTTGCTTGCAGCTGTTTATATTATTGCAAAAAGGATGTGATTTCAAACTTTTCAAAACTGTTACCAGTGTTCTCTGTACCTGGTGATTGTTAGGGAAATGCACTTAATCTGTGAATCTGTCCCAATGATTTTACTGAGATGTCCTGACACCTCTGTGTCCTAGTCAGGAAATTGAAATCTGGAATGAGATTATGGAAATAATTTAAGATTCCAACTGAATACTATTCAGCTAAGTTAGTCAGAGAAGATATCTTCTTTGGTTTCCTGAGAAGATAAAACTTAAAAATACTTCGTTCAATAATCCTTTCTGTATCAAACATTATTTTAACTTTCCTAACATGTTCTAACTTGCTGCTTACAAGTTGTGGTTCATTTGCAGGATGTGTGAATCCCAAATTCAATTTCCTTCTCTGCTAGAAAGTATTTGTGTTGGGTATCATTGATTTTTAAGAAAAAAACTGAGTGCTTATAATACTGTTCTAAAATATCCTGAAAGGTGGATATAAGGACAGGGTATTGGCTAAGACTGTTAAAAAGCCCCTAGTTCTACACATGCAGAGCCTGGCAATTACTTCATAAAATAATTTTCAACAGAAACCCTGCTCTGTGATATGTGCAAGAGAGCCACTGAGTAAATTTGGCATTGACAGTTCCTAGTTTTTAGTGCCTCACTTGACTTATGTCAACTTTGTGTGCGTGTAAGTAAATATATGGAACTAAATGCATGTATATACACTGGTTATATTCAGACATGAGCTATATGAATATTCAGAATTCTCTTGCCAGTGACTTCCTTTGCCTTTGGATATGGATGCTTCTTCTAAAGGATTTATTCTAAAGAAGATACATTTTGAATTTGCTGACATAAGCCTTAGTTTGCATGTCTTGAGGTGGTGGCATTCCCTTGGGGAGCAAGCTCCCATTGCACACTGAGTCTGCAGGTATAGCTGCTGCTTTAATTGCAGCGAGAGCACTGGGAACACAATGAAATCTGGGATCCTTTGCTTTAGATAAACAGCCTAATAAAAAGTTGATGATTAACTGCTTCCTTTAAAATACTGCAAACTCTTGAGAGGTTCCTACAAAGATATGGTCAAGGATGTTGATAGACAATTACTATGTAATAGTTTCTCATTTCAATACTGAGGATCCAAATGACTTCAAGTTTGCTAAAGTTTTACCATGCTGTCCTCTCACAGGCATATACAGGGGCAGAAGGAGACTTCAACTTCCATTAGAGCAAGCAGGAGTCTCTGTTTCTGGCCCATTTCCTTTTAATGTCTCTTTCTCTTGGGATGACCCCAATAAAAGAGGTGAAGGCAGACCTGCAATTTGTGGTCCCAGTGCCATTTTCTCAGCCATGTGAACCGAGAATGCCTGGGGAGGGGAGGACGAGTACAGTGCCAGGTGTCTGTGCTTGGCTGCTGCAGCTACCAGTGACTGTGGGGTTGTGGGAGAATGTGTGTCTGCTGTGGTGGCAGAGGAGGAATTGTGGTGATGGCGGCCAACCTGCTGGCCTTTCATGAAGGAATTGTGCACAGCCACGATTTCAAGGCCAAAGGGAGAGTTTACCTAGGGTAAAGCTAAAGTGTGCCTTGTGTGCCTCTGCCTACACAGGAATATGAGTGGAAGGGATTTTGTGGAGGAAGGTGGTTTCTTCTGAAAATACTGGAAGCTACGAGGTCCTTTGAAAACTGTGAATTATTCCAGATATTTGAAACAAAGCTGTATTTAGTCATGTAATGGAGGGAAGGGCTGTTACTCAGCAGAGCTATGCAAGCCAAAGGGAGTCAATTGGCTAGTGAACTCGACTTTGCTTCAGGCCAGTCTAGTGCAGGTAAGTAGGGGATGGAGCCACAGCCACTCCTCAGTCTGCCACAGGAGGAAGGGTAAAAGATGGGAAACAAAAACACAGATGTTTTTGAGAAGCTCCCATTTTCCTTTGCCAGTATATTTTGGATCAGCAGGAAGAGTGTTGAAAGAGATGTTAAAGCTACTTACTCAGCTGCAGGTATCCTTGTGGGGAAAGGTGGCTGGGCAGGTTGACTTTAGGTCATACAAACTAGCAGCCCTTTTTTGTACATTTGTGTAAATAGGTTAGAATACTTTTTTGCTGCTGCAGCCCTTGAGAAAAGGTGTCAGTTCAACATTAAAACAACTTTGTTGGTCATTATAGATGAGAGGTGTGTACGTGACCCTTGTGTGAGACGCAAGGTAGTAGTTACTATTACAGAATTACAGAACCAATTAGGTTGGAAAAGACCTCTGAGATCACTGAGTCCAACCTCTGACCTAACACCACTGTGTCAACTAGACTGTGGCACTAAGTGCCATGTCCAGTCTTTCCTTAAAAAGAAAAGATGTTAATGGTACAGTGCTTCCTCCACCCACAGCAGCTGGATGCATACAAGTTTTTATACTGTATTACTGGAAGTCTCTCGGTTGTCACTACACTAAATAGTGTCATACATTTGATTTTAAGCAGTAAGATAAAAAGGATTGAGCATATTTGAAAATGGAAGCTATGTAATGAGTACTGCCCTCATTTGGTTTAGGGATAATATTTTTAACAGTATTTTAACAGAGGGTACTGGAAATTACCTCTGTAGTTAAGGCTGCTGACACTTTCCAGTGCTTTATAGCTGAGAACAAGGACCAGCTTTGCCAGAATATGAACTCGTACAGTCTGAAGCTTTCTGTGGGTGCCACCACCCTGTAACATTTCAGCAGTTTCAGAATCACAGAATGTTCTGATCTGTGGGAAAGGACCCACAATGATCATTGAGTCCAGCTCTTAAATTAATAATAGCCCATACAGGGATGACACCCACAACATTGGTCTTAGTTGACCCATGCTCTAACCAACTGAGCTAATCTCAGGTCAGGTGTTTTACATTAAAGAACAAAAGATAAAAATTTAGCTAGGTTTTGGTGTGTCAGCATTTTTTTCCCCCCCAACAGTTTCTCTGAGGAGGCCTAATGCTCACAAAATTCAGAATTGAAGCCGGGAATGCTGGGTTAGTGCCTCGTGTTGTGATGCTGCTGTTGCTCTATCCAGATCCAGATTAGATGTTTTTATTCATCAACTCAAAAATCACCAGCTGTTACTCCAAATGTCAGTTAGGTGGCATTACCCTGGGGACACTGTGGCTGAGATTGGAGAGGGGAGCTGGAAGGAAGGAAACAGTCATTGGTAGTGATTTTGGTAGGCACCAGGTTCTGTGCTTAGAAGCTGGTGTGAAGGCAGATGCAATGTGTGTGACTTACAGGCTGGTTAAAGGAGCTTACATTGAGCAGAGCCTGTATTTGAGGCTCCTGCAGTCCAGCTCTTTGTTCAGCAGCTTTCTGTAAGTCCAATTGTACAGTTAAGAGCAGGTCTCTGGTTTTTAAAATGTGTATTGAGTCAGTATTCCTGCCTCAAGACAGCGTAAAGAAATGATAGGATTAAACTGTTAATAAAGAGAGGGGAGGAAAATTCTCCTTAATGCAAGATTAAGTTTTTTGTCTGCACCTAAAGACAGTCCTGAGCTCTCAATGGTATGTGATTGTTTTTTGCTTGTAGGTTCCCTGATGTATTTAAATGAAGCCACTCTCCTTCACAATATCAAAGTTCGGTACAGTAAAGACAGAATTTACGTAAGTATTGTGTGTCATGACAGCCAGTCTAATAGAGATGTCCTTTCAAAAATTCACTGTTTCCACTTCTGTTTTTTTTTCCTAGAATAGAATGGCTAACATGGAAAGTTCGGGGTTATAGGCCTTTTTTTTTGTCTTTTTTTCCCTTACATTATACTTTCAGATCAGAATCCCATTTGATTTTTAACCAGCAGAGCAATAGGTTTTTCTCTACTTGACTGTTTGTGTGGAACCATAGCACAGCTTTGTATCACAAATGTTCCTACAGGTAACTTATTTCACTGCTAACAAAGATGGTTTTCTTTCTTCATTATTTTTGAACGAAGCAAACAGGTGCCGTCTTTGACACCTCCTAGCTCAGATGTCCATCTTAATCTTTTATATTGCTATCAAATTGCCTAATTGTACTTAATGAATTCTGACTAAATTACATTTTGTCCTTGCCATCTGCCCAGCCACTGACAGCTGTGAAACAGAAGATAAGAGTTTTCTTTCTTTCTTATTTTTTTTCACTAATAGAAAGCTGGCTAGGGATAATACAAAACAGTTCTACATATTTTTAAGTGTCTGTGTTAAAATAATCAACTTTTCTTTTTAGCATATATTATAAAATTAAATTAGATAAACCCTTTTATATAAATGTAAAAAGAAAGTATAATAGTTTTCTTCTGTTGCAGTTAATTTACATAGCTTTAAATTTTTTATGGCTCAAGATCAAGCACCAGCTTTAAAATAAATAGATAAAAATGGCCATTTGAATGCTGCTCTGGAAAAATAATCCTTGAAGAGATCCAACCAAACAATAAAACCTCCCAAGGAAGTAAAATTCTGAATATGAACTGTTCATGGAGTAGGATAGTATTTCTGTTCATAAAGACTTTCTTCAGTGTAAATAAATACTACTAATGTATTGTCCAGAATGTGTATTTTCTGAAGGAAAAAGAAACTTTTTTTTTTCAGTTTATAATTTAGCTACATTTCCCTTCTAAATAGTTTTGTGCCTTTTTAAAAATCCTGGTTAACAATATTTATCATGTTATTAAAAGGAAAATTAATATTAGTACTTGCCAACTCTTGAAGAAAAGTTTTCCTTCAGTGAAATAAGTGCTGAAAATAGAACTATCTGAGAAATGTCACATATTGTTTAATCCAGCATTCTATTAATGTATCACACAATAGTGTCCAAATTTCAGTTTTCGTGGGACATTCTCAGTAACAACAAAGCAAATAAGTTATTCAAGCTGAAAGTTTACCTCATTTTCTTCATTTGCAGGTCTTTTCCTGCAAATCTGATTTTTAATTTGATTCTGACCCCTCTTCTTCCCTGTGTGTAACCTAGCAGTTATAACCAAGCTATGAGAGTTTCTTTCAGAAACATTAAAAAAAACCCCTCTCTTCAGTCTTCCTTGTCCTATGGAAAGGTAAAAAGCAGCCTTTGTCTGAGATTCTTCTCAAATTCCTCCTCTGTGAGAGAATATTTGCATTCTGTATTTCTCTCCGTGGACGCAGCTATAGCTAATTTTCTCTTGACTGAATGCTTTTATTGCCTGGCATGAATGCATTCCCAGGCAGGATCCTGTCAGTCCTTCCTGCTGAGTTGCTTCCATTAGATACTGAAAAGCTATCCTTCTCTCTGGAGGACAGTGTGTTATGCTATCCATGAGCTTTTGAGCAGGAGGTTTTGGCGTCCCGTCCTTGATCCAGTAATGCAGACAATAGGAAATAATTTAAAAGGAGATTGGGAGAAAGGTCAGATTCAGGACATACTCCACAGCTTGGTGGTTAGGAAATTTTCCCAGGATAATTTCACAGAAATGCTGAGAAGATAATGAAAGGAGCTCTAAAAATATATCCTGTCTTATGTGCATTAGCTGGAGAGAATCATAAATGCAATTGTTATATGGAGGCTATCATCTGCAATAGTAATAGACAATTGCTGTTAACCACTTGCTTGGATATTGCCTAGTAATTTGCTGTTCACTGTTTTCTTTACAGACCTATGTAGCCAACATTCTTATTGCAGTGAATCCATACTTTGATATACCTAAGTTTTATTCTTCAGAGACTATTAAAAAGTACCAGGGTAGATCGCTGGGAACATTGCCACCACATGTTTTTGCAATTGGTATGTATTGAGCCTGTATTTGTCCGTTAAGAAACGACCATTGAATACTTCAGAGTTATCTGTAAATTGCCACCTGTAGCAGTAACTAATTTATTTTGAACTACTATAAAATAAAACCGCTAATGGCTAAAGTTGCAGATCTTCTCATCTTTGAGATGCAGTTTGAAGAACTTGGAAATGAGCAACTTCAACAATTCTGTTAGGATTATTCTGCACTTCCAGTGTTTTAAATCTAAGCAGTTTAAGTATAATTTGCAGCAATACAAAAACCCCCAAATCTAAAAAAGAAATAAAGAAATTCAAGCTTTATAAGTGAAAAAGGTGTAATAATGATTGGCACTGTCTTTCAGTGTAGTAATTTTATTTGCCTTATATTATATTGTTAGAGCACATACACTGTTTCCTTTTATATGTTTGTGTTACAAACAGAAAGGACATTGAAATGTTATTTATGGCTTAAATCTGATTTCAATCACTTTTGAAAATAAAAAATAATTGGAAACTATAATCAGAGTTTGTCAGGTTAAAAGCCTTCTCAATGTTTTGTATTTTATTTTGAAATCAAAAATATAATTAGCTGGGTTTTAGTACCAGTTGCATAACAGGAGAGGTTTTTTTCCAAGTTTCCTTAGGTGTTACTTGTTGCAAAGTACAACTGAAAGTTTCCCTTTTAAAAATATATGACATTAACATTGATTACTATTTTGTAAGTACATTTAATTAAAAATATGTAGTTCTAGATGGTTGATTTTGGGTTTGTTTTTTGTTTTTTTTTTTTTTATTTTGGATAAGTTGAATAGGCCTTTGTTTTCAAGACTATGAGTTCTTACATGTCAGTGTTGGAAGAATTACAACTGTAATATAAATTAAAAGGAAACAGAATTTAATAAACTGTAATACATTCAATTGTAAAGATAGAGTTTCTGTTCCTGAAAATGTTACATTTTAATTTTTGCATTGTAGCTTAGCTTTATCCTTGCAATTCTGCTGAGTATTAATTTTTGTCATGTTAACCATATTCTTCTTTTTAAGCTGATAAAGCATTTCGTGACATGAAAGTGCTTAAGATGAGTCAATCCATCATAGTCTCTGGAGAATCAGGAGCTGGCAAGACAGAAAACACTAAATTTGTTTTGAGGTTTGTATGTTTGCACCAAAGTTAGTATGTGAATCTCTTGTGTTTATGCATTTGGTTGACATAGAGGCAGAGCAAACTAAGGTAATCAGTGGGTTTGAGATACAATTCAGTAAGATATGTATTAGCTTCTATGTGCACTTTATTACAAGAAATTGAGTTAAACTTAAATGCTGACATGATAACATGCAGAAACAGCTACATACTCACAGAAACTTTAACTCAGTTGTAGTGACATCATGTAGTTATTATGGTTTATGATGCAGTCATTTTGGTATTGCACATCTGGTATTGTGGTTGATAAAAAAAACGCAACTAGGCATTTTAACTGTATCTTGAAAGATACTTGGTTTTGCCATAAATATGTATTTCTTTGTTCTCCCTTAGGTCTTTTTTTTAGTTTGCTTGAGTATCTTCTAAACTTTAATGTACTTTATCCTAGGTTACTGAATAAGACTGAATAGTGGGATTTATTTATTTATTGATGTTCGTGTACAACCAATACTAAATCAAGCATATTAAACTGCATGGAAGCCATATTGCTGATACATATCAGCCTTGCTTCCATATCTGCATTATCTTTTAATGGCTTTTTATCACTCTGGAACACTGTAATTGGAAAGAACTGCTCCTTTAAATACACCTATGTCAAAGGTGGCCTGATTATGCAGGGAAGCACAGTGCAAGCAGTATAAATATGCTCCCTTGCCCCGCCTTGGACTTGTTTCCCTCTATAAATATTTAACTCCCTTTTCCCTAACATCATGTATTTTCTAGTATTTCTCTACAGTAGAGGTGTTATTTTCCACATCCCATGAAGAATTGTTACAAATGCCTGTCTGTCCTTCATACTGCTCTGTGCTGCCCCTGTGAAACCTTTCATAGATAGCTCTAAGAATTACTGCAAGGTGCTGGTAATGATTTTTTACAGGGGACATCCTGACTCCATCGCTGATAAGAGTAATAAAAAAAGACAGGAGTCACTGGAAGAACATCTCACAAAAGATGCTCTTAACAGAGATTATTCTTCCACTTCTCAGCTAAGGAAGAGTTCATTACACAACAGGCAAATTTCATTGCTGTTGCTTCTCCCTGCCACCCTCCACCATAGAGTCCATGTACAAAATATAACTGAGTTTTAAAAGCTGGAAGATTTTACCCTTGTGTGATTAGAAAATAAAAGGTACTAATGCAGTTCTTTTAGTGCTTCTGAAGGTTTTTGGAAGGCCCCATTTTCGAGAACTGTTTTTAACTTGTCCCAGATTCACCTGTGAATTTCCAGAAAGCATGCCCTGTGAGCAGGGAAAAAAAAGTTTAAAAAGGACTGGAACTTTGGAGCAAGTACATTGTGGTTTTATTTTCTAACTCTTTCTTCAATTGCTAAATTGAATCTTGCCTTAATATTATACACCTGTAATTTGTTATCCCCACCATCTCCATGCAGATTTTTATTTACATCGATAGTTATGAATACAGAAACTGTATGGATGGCAACAGTCTTAAATTCAGGAAATAGACAGGAAACCTTATGTGTTTAATAAAATTATTAATAAATACAGGTAATTCAGAAATAGCTTGATTATATTTCCATTAAACTGTAATTTTCATATGCATGCTGAAAAGAAATTTCTAGCAGGCCTGGGAGTATTGAAAAAAAATGGAAGTGTGCAAAAATATTTTTGTTTTAACAAAAAAGAAAAGTTAGAAGTTTAAAGTAAAGTTTATGTCAAAGTGCATAGGTATTTGAAACTTAAAATCAGAATGCTTTCCCTATAGTAATTAGTTAGTATTTGTGCACAGCCATATTAAACCCTGATTAATTAAGGAAACCTGACATGAGAGGAGTGATACTGATATTTTTATCTTGCTTTACAGGTATTTGACAGAATCCTATGGCAGTGGCCAAGATATTGATGATAGAATTGTAGAAGGTATTGAAGTTTTTCATTTAACTAAAGGATCCAACATTTTTTTTCAGAAATGTGACTCAACAACAAGTGAATAAAAGCTAGCATAGAAACACTATCACACTTTCTAGAGCATAGTTGCATAATTTACAGGTCGTTGATCTTGATTCAAGGTTTTGATTTTTTAAAATTTGTGATTTACTTTAATTTTATTTATTATAGTATCATACAGTCGTTTACCTAGAAAATGTTTATGTGTGTGTTTGAATTGAATTTCTATACATAATGTACTTAAGGTGGTAACCCAAATGGAATTTTAAACTGCATAAAATCTGAAAGGGGCAAGAATGTTTTTTCCATTACTATCTGTTAGTACCAGGAAAATACAATTCCTTCTCCTCAATATCAAGTTCTCAAAGTCAAATAAAGTAGGGCAGTTCTTTTAAATTATGATTCTAGATTATTTTTCTGTTATATTATTTTTTGTCAGAAATCACATAATTCAGAACCGCACTTGGTATCTGTCTTTACATTAGACTCTCAAACATGGTAAAGAGAGACTGTGTTGATCCTTCTCACTGAGCCTCTTTAATGTTGCATGTACTTGGTAATTGAACAGTAAATAGCTTTTTGAGAAAATAGAAATATCTGAAAAACAAACCGTCAGCCAATCTAATAATTCCTCATACATCAGTTTTAGTCCTCTATAGCATGGAGTAAATTTATTTTGAAATTTCTTGACTCTGTCTCTTTTTCTTAAAAAAAAATTACTTTTGCTTTAAATTTTCCTGTTTTCAAATTTGAAGTACTTCAGGCTTTAATCTCTTGTTGCTGTAGGTCTGCTTAAATCAGTTCTTTAGCGAAATCCACTGAGTGCTAAAGGAACTTAGAAAGTGGGCAAGAGTTGTATAATGCCTGATGCAAATTAATTGGTACTTGTAGGTATTCCTCAAAGAGTTTGGGCTTTTTAATTTAGAACACCATCTGATGCATGAATTTTGAAGGTTCTTAGGCATGATTTTAATGAATATGCTCGTGGCATATATATTACTAGAGGAGAACCTTCAGCCTAGTTGAAAGACCTTGTGCAATTTGGTTTTATTCATAATCCTTTCTTTAAAACTTAATATTACATAAAATGCTTGAATAGTTATCAAAGATCTTGTAAGAAGTCAGATTTGCATTTTTATCAACTTTAATTGTTAAAAAAATGGAAGTACAGACAAAACAAAATAGTTAATTCTCATGTCCTATGACATGATGCATTATCACCCATATTTTATCCAAGCACTCATGTCATTCCTTCATTCTTTAGTTTTTGTAGGAGCAGATATTTAAATGGTTGTCAGTGGAGTTTTCAATCTGAGTTTCTGCTCACTTAGTTTCCAGTGCTTATTTTTAGCTAGAAGCCTTAAAATATCTTACAGATATTTTTAGTGATTTATTGTTAACATGATTCAGTAAACTATTTTTGTTTGATCTTCAAAGCTAGTAAAATGCAGTCTTTCAGAGGCCTTCTCTTTCATAACTAATAAGCAGTTTCAAACTGCTTAAACTGTGCATGATGTTTATGTGAGTGTGCATATATATGTATATGAGAATTAGATTGCTTGCTGCCATTCTTTCTGTATGGGCTTTAACATGCTGAAAAGCAGCAGCCAGTAAAAAATCGAGTCAGTCAGTCACTTAATTGACCTAATTTGAAAGGGCAGTGTTAATTGGTTTTAGAAATCAACACACTTTTCAAATATTATATTTATTAATTTCCGAATCAATCTAATACATTGCATGCTTGACATTTAAGTGGCATTTTTGTCTGTGGAATAAGTTGGTAGTTTAGATTTCATGAATAATAAATAATTGGGAAGTGTTAAATTCTGTGTTGTCTCATGTAGTTTATGTATCAGTTATTTACCTGCTTCCTATAGAAGAACATCCCTGAATAATTTTTTGTATTTGTCTCTGAATTTCTTGCAGTATTGATTCAAGTATGTTGCAGTGGTTTGAGATACTTAAGTACTTTATTTTATGTTCTACCACAAAATATCCAGTATAGTTTGCAAAATATATTATTCCTAGCAGGTAGTATGGTAGTATTTTTCCTTTAATTTTCAAACTTTATTCCAAGTAAGTTCCCGATTAATTATAATGTATTTATCCTCTCTTTCTTTTCTATAGTTTGTTGATTGAATTTTAACACTACAAAAATTAATTTTTTTAAACAGCAAATCCCCTATTAGAAGCATTTGGAAATGCAAAGACTGTTCGCAACAACAACAGCAGTCGTTTTGGGAAATTTGTTGAAATTCACTTCAATGAAAAGGTATTGGAATTTTGTTACAGATGACCAGTGATGATTTTTTTTGGCCATATAATGGAAACGCTAGACTGGCAGAAGACTGAGCTAGTCTTGCAGGAAATAGCCACTGTCCTACTTTACAGATTTAATTTGTATTGTGTCACCTTGAAAGAAAAACCAGAGCCACACCGTACTGTCTCATTACTGGAAGGCTGTGGCAAGTCAGTAGGAAAATTGCTTCTACCTGCAAAAGATTAAAAGAATGAGTTGTTAAAAGTGTGAGTTGTGTATTAGACATAAATGTATTTCAACTTCAAACAAATTACTGTTTTTTTAAATGTATTTGTATTAATTTTTGGGACCTCACACAGTAATCTGTATGTGACAGAAGTCAATGAATTGGTTTTTTTGACAGAAATACGATTCAATGGTGTACCTTAAGGAAAATTTTATTTGTTCAGGTATAGTCTTGTTTGGATGGCATATGTATACATACATTCCACAATTAAGGATGACTGTATGGTTGGTCAGTATGTCCAAGTTGAAGACTCCTGTTGCTGTTCTCTGGAGATTACATACATGCTTCCTCATCATTCTGACTGAGGACAGACCAATTGCAAGAATTTGTTTCTTTTCATGCAAACTTAAAGTTCATTCTGGTCTTGAGCTTGCGGTCTTTTCCTCAGTTTTCATCATTTGGTTTGTAATTTAACCTTAGAGCTTTTGTTAATAGTTTAGGTAGTAAATAACTAAATTCCTTTCTGAGTAGAGGTACTTTATCTGTTGGTCTGATTTGTCTTAATAAAGTTATGGAAAGGATCAAAATTTTTACTTAAAACGATGGATTCATGATCTGCCCAACTACTTGCCAACACATACATGGTGTTTCAGTTTGATTACTTCAGCTGAAGCAAATAGCCCCCCGAGTATGTTCAGAAGCTGCTTCAAAGCTTTTTTCAGCTTTCCACTGCAAGATCAGCCTGTTTACTTGAGCCCCTTTTTTACAAGACATCACATCTCACTTTGTGGGCATCTTTTTACATCTGGTTTTCCAAAGTGATATGAGTACAGACTGAGACCTCCTGAATAAGCAAACAACTGCATAACTGCAATCAAATTTGTCAGTCAGTTAATCCTTCTTAGTTTCTGTAATGGCCATTAAGTTCAGGAATTTCCTTGCTGTTAAGATTTCTCTAGGCACAGGGAATTTTATCGTAAGCCAGTTAACAAATAGCTCTCAAAAATCTGTATCAGAATTCTTTCCCAGTAAAGAAGTGCAAGTGTTGGAAATAAAATGTTGTGTCATAATTAATTTGCCTAAGATATTGTCCAAATACTTACTCTATAATTTTAACCCTTTTATTTTACAAGAGTCTCAGTGAAATGCGACTAAAGAAGGTTCTAATAGCACTGTCATCCAAAAAGTGTTAGGACAGCTGTAGCAATGCTCTTTGCTGTAACTCCTGAGGTTCTGCTACAGATTTCTGCTTTTTGGGGTGAAGAAGACCCTTCTTTTAAGAAGAATGTATATATACACAATATATGAACTGGGGAGAGAATTAATGGTAAAGGCAATGTTGTTTTTGTTTTTTTTTTTCCTAAGCTTAATATAGGTATAATTAGGTATAGATAGCTTTTAATCTTCTTTGGAGCAGTTTCTATTGAGCAAGGCATGATAAGCCAAAAGTAAATTGAAAACATCAATCTCAAATAATACAACAAATATCCAGATAATCAGAAAAATATTTCTTCTTCCTAGAACTCGGTGGTTGGTGGATTTGTGTCACACTACCTTCTGGAGAAATCTAGGATCTGTGTGCAAGGCAAAGAAGAGAGGAATTATCATATCTTTTACAGGCTTTGTGCTGGTGCTCCAGAAGATATTAGGGAAAAGCTGTATCTAAGCTCTCCTGACAACTTCAGGGTGAGTATCAGCATTTGTAAAGCTTGTCATATTGTCATGTATGGATTTTTCATATGGATCATATTGAAATCTCTATTTATTATCTTTGACAGACTCATTCCTATTAAAAAGAACCCAGTTTTTCTTTTTGTTAAATCTATTTGATCTTGGAAAAAAGCTACCCGACATTTTTCTTTACTGGAAGAATTACTATACTTTAATTTTTTTTTTTCAAATTTTAAAATTTATACTTTTTTTCTTAATACTTTCATATATTTTTCCCTTAAAATTGAGGAATCTGTGCTTTCCAGAAAATGTACTGTTGCATACCTACCTGTTAGCAATGTTATGGGCTCTTTTAGAGATGTAAAGTGTGAATTTCTTCAGTGCAGATCAAATCTCCTGGTAAATACCAGTCAGTTCTCTTCCTGTGTTCTGTCATTTGTTTCCATCTCTCACCATTTCTTGCCTTATATTTGGCTTGGCACATCATGGGAGTGGAATTTTGTGTATTCCTGAAATATGCAGACCAAACCTCTTGGATTTTGAATGGCTTTTTTAATACAACAGTGAAGAATTAAAAGGACGTAAGCTAAATGACTGTCATCTCTTTAGACTTCCTTGATCTTAAAGGAGATGAGAAGCACTGCAAACAAAGAATTAAGTTGTTGTGTTGATTGTTTTGTTTGTTGGTTGATCTTCCTACTTGGGTTTCTCAATAAAACTTTGACTGTGTTTATCTATTGCTTTCCCTTTTGTACCGAGTTCCATAAAAATTCAGCAGAGGGTTAGAAGCTTTAAATATCCAAAAGTCCTACCAGTTTTGTACAAAGTGGGGATTTCAGATGTGAGACCTAAATGTGGGGAAGGTGGGGGTACACTTGTCACCAGGCAGGCGGCTGCTGCCTCTTGGCTTGGCCAAGTCAGTCTCTCCTTATGGATGAGCCAGGAAAGGGCACAGGGCTGCACTTCCATGTTGTGTGCATTGTACATTTATACTGCAGTATCAAGGTGACCTTGCTGTCTAAAAGCCATGGCAGTATTCTACACAAGTTTCCTTACTTTCTCAAGGCATTCCTGGGATCTTGACAGACCTTACATTATTTCTTTAAATATTTAGTTTTTATCTTTTTATATTTTGTCTATTCATATTCACCTATGTGATGGAAACTTGTTCTTATGGTTATTAGGAAAGAACTGCTTCCATTCCCTAGAAGGAAAGTTCTTCTTTAGAAACACCCAGCAAACACGATACTCAAGAACACCCAATACTATTTTTATTTGTAAAATGTGGAGCTATTTTCAAAACTTTCTTCTTTACTCTGCAATTACTCTTTGCAGTATTCTCTTGTATGTTTTACAGCTAAAACGTTGAAGAGATTTTTCATGTACATTTTTTATTGTGCAGCCAGTTTTCCATTAAAGTTTATTTCTTGAAGTTAATAGATTTTTATTTCTAGAACATAGTGCCTACCTATTTTTTAAAATCAAGAATTCTGCTCATGAGAGCACCCTAGGTGGTAGATGTCAGACTTAAAACTGTCTTAAAAATCAGGCTGGTGCAAGACAGTACTTAGCAGCCTGAGTTCTTTTACTGAGGACATTTTCTTGCATATTTCATGTATAAAGAGTTTATAGTCACACCAGCCTTATCACACTGTGACTTTTTTTTTTTTTGACTTCTACTAAGACTGTAGCAGGCACTTTAATTTCCATTAAGGATTTTATTGCTTTACCCTAAGTTAGTATTATTTGAATTCTGAATTCCTTGCATGTGAAAGGTCCGCTCTGCATGTTAAATTAAAATAATTTAACGCAGTTTTTTCTCTCCCTTAAAGTAGGTTCTTTTATTAAAAATAAAACAAAACCTTAGGATAATTTTCATCTTTGTAAGCTTGTAAATGAATATAAATATTCTTAAAGTTTATTACCCATATTGCACTAAATTTTCAAACTGTAAAAGATCAATTTTCCTCCTAAATTTGTATTTATTTTGTCAATATTATTTTTGTGTTCTTTATTCTCATTTGCTACTTCGCTTTTCATCATAAAATGGTTCTGAATAAGCATGCTTGTGTCACTTTTTGTTTACCACATTTTGTTGACTGCATGTCTGGTTCAGAATTCATAGAAATGCCATCTTTCAAGCTTCTGATAATAGATTGTGATATTACACAAGGCAAAGTTTGATGATTGATCAGTATTTTTCCTATCAGTACTACTTATTTTACAAGAAAGATATTAATAAAATACCTGAAACTCTAAAACTGGTTATTTAGGAAAGTTCATCCCTTAAGTCACAGTTTTGCATTGGCTCTATTGTGTCCCTTGTCTTGAGCCTTAGGCTTATCCAGTCAAAGTCCAAATTAGGGCTAGTTTGAGTTATAAGACTCAAGCCTGGTTTCTTTAAAGTACACTTAGTTGGAAATAGGACCATCTCAAATTTAAGGCTTTTTTTTTCCCCAAAGAAGCAAAACATAATTAAAAGATAAAGGATAAGTTAATTCTCTTTACTCCTTGGGTTTGCTTCCCTTTGATTTAAGTGATCCCTGGAGTCTCCTCCCCATCCATTTGGCCATCATGGCATAGGGACACATTGCTCTGGGCATGTAAACCAAGACATTGCACTGGCTGCCCGTGCCTGACCTGTCCTTTGGATTGCAGCAGCTCTAACAGCCATTACCTCTATATTAGTTCATCCTTCCCCTGCAGGTTCCCTGGGGAAGTGAGAATTTACTTGGCCAAGGATTATGTAAATAGCACTGCAGTTCTGCAGGTTTCTTACACAACCATTCTTCAGCACAACCCACATGAAAGCGTGTAGTCCTGGCTGCTCGTGTTTTAGTTGCCCTGCAGAAATTTTCAGAAATTCAAGGTCATGAGGAAACCCCACGCTGAACCTTATAGGTCTTTGTGCCTTGGCTTGAATCACATGGCTGTGAAAGTAAAGCAGCACAATAAATCTGTACCTGGAGTAATTCTGTACCTAGAAAACAGTAGATGAAGATGCCAAGCTGAAATTCTTTCACATCTAAATTTCAGGAAGAGAAGTCGGATTGCCTTATATTTGGTCGCTGAAGTTACAATGGTGTGTTGTAATTCACTAAAAAAACAAACAAAACAGACAAGCAAAAACTTCAAACAAACCATAAAAACCAAAACCCAAGTACAATGGTATTTAGATGTTCTGTGTAATAACCTGAAACTGTGCATTTGTGTTCTTTTAAAAATATATTTTTTGCTCAATTTAATACATAAATTTACTCAAGGTTTTAGCTTTCAAATGAAAGCCATTATCTTGTGATTAAATGTCTTTTATGTAAGTTATTATTTAATACCATGCTGGTTCCCATTCTCAGTCTGTCAGATAAGTTTCCACACTCTCTTTTTGAAAAGGATGGCCTTTTTCACTTCCCATCACCAGTTTCGGGGATTGTGTTACTAAGGCTATAATACAGGGATATATTGTATTTAAAATATGCTGTGCTTTGCATTCTTATTGGCTGATAAAGAAAACTTCAGTACTTTGTTAAACACCAAGCTAACTTTGAACAGTTATCACTTTGTTTTAATATTAAATTTGTCACCAAGTTTTCTTCTGCTGTTAGAAGTGCTTTGAAGAATATTTTTGGGTTTTAGAATTTTGCATGTAAATTTTAATCAGAGAGTAGAATTGTCTGTGTTCACCTATTAGAAAACATCTTTGTTCTGTCAAAGAGTAAAGAATCAGTTCACTTCCTTCAGACAAAGGGCTCTGTCCAAGCTTTTGGACAGAGTTCTTACATTCAGATGAACAAATCAGAAAGAAAAAGCTGGCAATCCCATTTTGCTGAAAGCAACAGTAATTATTTAAATCTAAATTCAGTCTGATTTAAAAAACAGTAAATCTGAGATTACTGTACAACACAAGGTGGATATAAGAAGCTGGGTTCTAAATAAGACTTCTGCTTAGACCATGTTATAAGCTTTAAATATTCTTCAGGCTTTTTAATACACTGTGTTTCCTACTACCTATAGAAATATTTGGTGAGGAAAAATTAGTAGTTTCCTATTACATATAGGCCATAAAAGTAATTTTTTGGTTCCTAATTTTGGTTGTCTTTTATATGATCCTGGGCTCCTTGAATAGATTTAATAGAATCAAAAAGTAAGAAAATACTGTGTGACTTAATGAATATCCCATTGTGTCAAAAAGTATTTTAGTTGTCAAAATCAAGAAAGTTTCAATAGAAGTTTTGTACTGTTGCAGTTTGTTAATTTTGTAGATGCAAAAAAATACATTTCCAAGGAATTAATTATGAGCACTTATTACGTTGTTTGTATCAAATGGATAAATCAAGCCATGTAGGGGAAGCCTTAAATAAAAGTACATGTTTTCCTTACTTCTCTCTTTAAGTACACATTTCCACTTTTTTATTGTTACAGTATTTAAATCGAGGCTGTACCAGATTCTTCGCTAACAAAGAAACAGACAAGCAGATTTTGCAAAATCGCAAGAGTCCTGAGGTATGTTTGTATCTTCAGTTAGTTTATATTGCTAAGTAATGGAGATAGAGTTGAAAGTGATTACAATTTTACAGTATGGAATGAAATTCATTTTACACATCTTTATAGGTCTAAGAGGGTACTCTCAAAGCTGCTGTATTCAGAACTCTGCTTTGGAGTTCAGCCCTAGAAATACGTTCTAACATGCATCATATATTCCCAAATGGAATAGTGTATATAAAATGGTTTCCTCTTCATTCTTGTAATAATGTAACACTTAATGATGCAGCTTGTCTTCTGTGCAAAACAAAAATCTAATGCTTTTGTAACTTTCTTTTTTAAAATCTTAACTACTGGTAAGAATAGGTCAGAAGCAATGTTTTTTCTGGAGCTATTTTTACTACCTGAAGTTTTGAAATGATGCTCCAAACTGTTCTATAAATCAGTAGTGCAACTTCACCTCTAGCCACCACTATATTCTCCTCCTCAGTGCCCTTTAAAAAGTTTTTGTTTTCTCCTTGCTATTAACTGCTAGTTATGCCAGAGCATGGTATTTCCTGGATGAAAGTCAAAGCATTTATATCTTCTTGCTCCATCTCTGTTTATGTTTTTAAAACTGGAATTACCAGAATTTGTAGCACTTAAACCTTTGAGCTGTTCACATGAGTATACTAAAGAATTTGTTCTGAATTTTTAGTATATATGAATTGGAAGTTGTTAAAATACTTAATTAAACTTCTACTCTGATCTCTAATAAAATTTTAATATATTCATACTTAAAGTATGAAATTCACATTTGTGTGGCTGAAAGAAATTTCAAATTTAATCAAATCCATATTTGTGATTCAGTGGCAGGGTAAGCTGCATGTATGTCTGACAAAAATACAAAAAAAAACTTTATTCAAGAGCCTCTTTCCACCAAGTGTCCATGCCATCTCTTTCATAATTTGGTCTTGAAGCTCGTGCTCAACTATGAGAGACTGTATAGATAGTTCCTTTGCCCATGTCAACATTGTCAAGTCTACTCCTGGATTTTTAGTGGTTGTATTATTGTAACACTGAGCATGTAGTCCTGTCTTCTGTTGTTAAATGGAGGCTATTTTCTAAAATCAGGGATGGTGGAGGGTCAGATAGAAAAATACTTACTTGACATCACTGTGAGGCAGAAAGCTGGTTGATACTTCATTCTTGTCAAGCATATAGGCTAGCACTGGGGAATTTTGCCTCAGTTTACCCAAATTGCCTTTCATGAAGAATTGTAATGAGTAGGCATAGAGTATCAACATTCACTTATTTTTGCTACTGGAAGATGAATCTGTGCAATCTCCTGTTATTGATGTGATTTACAGGTGGGTGTCATCATAAAACTTGTCCTCTGATGGGCTTGAAATAAGAGAAGACTTGATTTGAAATAAGTGTTTGCCTAAATTAAAACATACTCAGAGAATAGTTCTGAAAATATATATGACATGAAGTAGCAGAACATATGATACCATAGTACTTAGACATAACTGCCATATCTGCTTGAAGGCCCAAAGTTAAGTGATATTTAAACCTAATATAGCCATTTTAACAGGAAATATATTGCCTTGTTCAGGTTTTTTAAGTTGGAAATTTAGTATTTGCTCTGTATTTTTATAAAAAATATTAAGATTGTTTATTTGAATAAAAGTAGCTGGAATAGTTAATTAATACTTCAATTATTTTTGTGTTTTCCTTATCAGGAAGATGAGGTGATCATTTTACATAATTAACATGTAGTTTAATGTTATTGATGTGCCTACATGTTGTGTGAAGTGAATTTTTCAGATGCATGTGGTGTTATGTTTTGATAAAAATCATGTTAGCTTATTTGACATTAACAAGGCTTATATTTAGTTAATTATTCTTTTGAATTGAAAACATTTAAAAAATAAGTGTAAAAACGTAGCTCAGTCTGTGCATGTTCATGTAGTTTCTTGATTGCATGCAGATGTGTTACTTTGTACTATTTAAACTGGTTTATAACTAAAATAGTTTTTGATGTGTTTAAATTAGAAAAATCAGCAAAATGTTAAATTAGTATTTCAGAACACAGCTAGCATTCTCCTAACCCACAGACCTCTGCAAACAACTTTTCTGTTTCTTAATTACCACCTAAAGTTAACTAGTGTATTTCTCTAAATAAGTCTGTTTAGAATAGGGATAACTCTTGGTGCTGATTAGTCCTGTGCTCCTCTCCTTCTGTCATCCTATTGCAAAGACCTCCATCTTCTTTCAGCTGCTTGAGGCTAGAAGGACTCCTTTGTATTAAATGCTCCAATAGTAGCTCCCTTAGCCAAAGTTTTCCTTCCCCCTGCTCATTGTCTTATATTCCCTTGTCCTTAGCAGTCACATTCTCTCTAGCTTTCTGAACATAGTTTGAAGTTTGCTTTGAAATTCAAGATCATGCTTCCAAGCATCAACAATTTAAAATAAATTAAGGTTCTTGCAAAGGCTATATTGTATGAAGAACTCGAATCTCTACTTAGTTTGGCATGCTTTTGTATGCTTTTTGTTATGACTTATTCTTGACTGGAAATATTTGCTTACATTTACTTTACTTTAAAGCATTTACACAGAATTCTTGGTTTTTCTTGTTTTATAGTATCTTAAAGAAGGTTCCTTGAAGGATCCACTGTTAGATGATCATGGAGATTTCAACAGAATGTGCACAGCAATGAAAAAGATTGGACTAGATGATGAAGAAAAACTTGACCTTTTTAGAGTAGTGGCTGGTGTCCTTCACCTTGGAAATATCGATTTTGAGGAAGCTGGGAGTACTTCAGGTTAGATGAAATATTAATTGTTTTTTGTAAAAATACTGGAAATGCCTCTTGATTAGAGATGTTTTCTTTGCATGTGAATTACTGCTTTTGAAAGCTTCTTTGTGTTTATAGGTACTTCAATCTTCATTCATCCCATTTTGAAGTCAAGTTTACCTGTTTGTTTTAAAGTTGTACTTCTTTATGTGCTCTGAAAGCAAATAGACTTGCCCTGAAATTGTTCAAGAACTTGTTCAGTGAAGAGTTTGATATAAAGAAAAGAGCCATTTTGTGTCTTAAAACAATACTTGTATTTTAACAATAGCTTTAAAGTCCAACTTCTCTCTAATGTCATGAAAATGTCCTTAAATTAGAAATTAGCAACTCCATCTGTAGGGAAATGCATTATGTCCTTTGGCTTTCAAAAATAACATCGTGTTAATATATTGAGAGGTGAAGAAAAAAATTTTACAGCAAAAACTTACGTAAATATAACTTCCTAATTTTAAGATGTTGCTCACAAGATGCAGCAGTACAAGTGTAGTTGGGACTTAATTGCAGAATGTCATGAAGGTTGATGAAGGAGAATTAATAATTTGGGAATTGTCCTTATTACCTTTTTACTGAAATCAGCCTCTCTAAATTGGGAACTGCTATCCATATATTCCTTAAGGACTGATTCCTCTGGGTCTGGATGTACTACAAATACACCTGTAGTAGAAAACATAAGTATTTAGGTCTATCTCGACTTGCAAGATAGAGTGAAATTGGTTCCTCCTGGTCCTGCTTCAAGTAGATTTAACTATTGGTGTAGTTTGGCAAAGAACGTTTTAAAAGGTGTTCTGAATGATGAATTAAATGAGTGCTAACCTTGCAGGTTCACTAGCTCCTGACCCAAAGTACAGAATCAGCACAGTACTGTACAAAACATTCTGTTTAGAAGAGATCATGAGTGGGCTCTAGTCCCATGTGTCAAATCAGGGCCAGTGCTGAATTCAGACTGGTGACCTTAGGGTTGGCACAGAGGTGGGTTGTTCTGGTTTTTTTTGGTTTTTTTTTCCTCTTACTCTGTAGATCAAATCAGAACCTCCCCAGTGTCAGTTCATGCTGTTGTCACCTTCATGAAGATGACTGAAATTAACATAATTAATTGAGAATGAATCTGGGTGATGCAGGTGTAGAGACGGTAGTGGCTTTGTGTAGCTCAAAACAGAAAGCTTCCCAGAGAGCTTCACTGTTTGGGCCTTTTGTGAGCTTTTGTGACTTAGGCATTGACAAGGTGGAAGAGTGAAAGACGTGCAAATGTGAGTTTGAGGAGAAAAGGAACAAGAAGAGTGGGAACCACAGATGATAAGGAAAGTCAGGGTGTAGAGAAAGGAACCTCACTAGAGAACTTATGTCCTCTAAATATTGAAATTCAGGCCCATTTTTTTCTGGAATAAATTATTGAACTTCTAAAATGGAAATGAACTTCTAAAATGTAAATGTATGTATTGAACTTCTAAATTCCAAATACATGTTTTGTTCATCCTTCATCTTGTGTGTCTTCGTACAGGGTGTGCTTTTGAGCTGCTCCAGGCAGTCTCTTATCAGAGACCTGCTAAAATTATTGCTGCTCTACTGCGAGCAACAGAAAATACGTGTAAATAAGTGCTAGATTTTACTAAGTGGGTGGTGTTCCCCTTGGAGGTCTCTGCTGGCCGAGCCGTGGCGCCGAGGCAGGTGCAGAGCAGCAGAGAAGACACGTCTCGGCATTTACCTGGGACACGTACAGAGCCTTATCTCAAAAATCCAAGTGCCGGGACTCTGCCCTAGCAGGCACTTCTGCTGCACACCAAGACAGCCTGGAGGATGACAGGAACGTCTAAGCTCAAAAGTTTTAAGTCACTAGCGTTAGTTTGTAGGAGTTAGCGCTTTTGTATTTTGGGGTAGTTCTTCCGTACAAGCAGCCTTGTGCTTCAAGCGCTCTTGAAATCCAGAATTTCATGCGTAGTTTTTGGGCGGGGTGTTATTTTTGTGTTTGTTTCGAGGCGGGGTGTCTCTAGGTTTTGAGAACCCAGCTGCTAGCAGGTGGTTTCCAGAGGCGGAGGGGAATAGCCTGACGGCGAATCGTGTGTCCGCAGGGGGCTGCACGCCGCGCGCGCGGAGCCAGGCGGCGCTGGAGCGCTGCGCCGCGCTGCTGGGCCTGGACCAGGACGACCTGCGCGGGAGCCTCACCTCGCGCGTCATGCTCACCACGGCAGGGGGCGCCAAGGGCACCGTCATCAAGTGAGTGCGGCCGCGGCGGCGGAGGGGGGGGAGGCGGCTCCGCACCGGCCCTTTCTCACACACCGGCACAAGCGGCCCCAGCGCCCGCTTAACCAGCTGCTGTTCGGGGCTCTTGCCTGGAACAGAGACTAGCCCGAGCAAAAGGAGTAACATAGGTATTTATTGAAAGGATACGCTTTGCGCAGTGCAAGAGCCCGGCCGGGGCTGCACCCAAATCACATTCAAGATGGATCCCGGTCACGAGTGTTTACATTTTCATGAGTTTTGGTTCATCTACATCTTGGGGTCAATTATCCAACCACAGCCCCAGGCTATGAAGTCTCAGCCCCCTGGCTTGCCCCCTTTCCCTCTCCATTGTTTATGCTTTTTTGGGTAACAGTCGTCCTTGATTCTCTAGCTAGGAAGGGATTGTTTTGTCTAATTACCCTGTGATAAGAACTTAGTAACAGCTGATATGAAGTTTCAGAGTTACACACTAAGCAGCAGAGATTCTGAAAAATACAAAAGCTAAAACCCAAGGTATCGTGGTGAACTGAGGTGCCCTCGGCCCAAGCGCTTCTTTCAAAGGTTTGCCAAGCACAGGTACGCCCTGCACAGGCCGTACAGAAATCAGAGTGCTGAAGGCTAGCAGGCTTACACTTCTAGGCACGTTGAATAAGCAACTCCCGTGTTGTGTAAAATCTCTCGTGTGTCAGTGAGTACGCTGTGTGGCCAAAGAAAGTATAGCAGTCAGCCAGTTAAATCCACAGCCTGCACAGCAAATGTGATATGCTGAAAGGTTTATCGGATACCCTCTATCAAGGAATGCTGATGCGGTACCTGAAGTCAGAAGACACTCGAATCTTTGTCACAAGGGCTGCACGGTGCTCCTGTGAGTGCTGCCCTGTAATAATTGGGGCTGGGATGCTTTAATTAGAGGGCAGTATATCCACCCTTCTTAAGGTCTGAGCGATCAGTGTCCTTGTGTTTGCCATATCTAATTCTTCTGAAATCAAATGTCAACTTTAATAACACCCCTGCAAATGGTAATCCAGGAATATGCTGCTTTTTGCTGCTTTTGCTATTTAATTGTCACTGTTGATGATGTTTCACAAAAACACAGATAGAAAGTGCGTTACTTTGGGTTTTTAAATTTTTTTTTTTCTGAAACTATGATCAAGGTAACTTCTCGGTACAAAAGCAAGATAGTAATTTCTGTATGTATATGGGGAAGGAATAAAGGCAAAGAATCAATCAATCAGTTTGGTACCGGTGATATAATTTCAAAACTGTGAAATTTATGACTCTTTCAAAACTGAGTTTTAAGTACAGTTGCTTTTTATTTATGAAAAACATCTCTCTTCCACCACAAATTTTTTCTTGCTAAGATTGATCCTAACATGCAAGCTGTCAGGGATGCTAGCTAAGATGTCTGCAACTGATCTGTGTGCTTTAACATTTAGTTTTCTATGTTGAGTATTTTCAGGAGTCCAAGGAAACATCACATCAAAAACTGAGCTTGGACTAAGCAGTTTTGAGCACATTAAAAGTAATTCTCAGTGTTCCGCTAAATGTATCAATCTTTTAATTAGGAAGCTAGTGAACATTAACTCCTTGGAAGAATACAGGTGTGCTTATTATTGACATATGGAAACAATCAGATTGTTTTAGTGAATTGGAAATACTTTATTCACATCACACCAAAAGTTTAGTATATGAAACTCATAATTATCTGGATTAATGGAGTTTAAGTTCCTTGCATATTTTGTCTTTGGAAATTTATTACGGAAATTATTATTATGGAAAAAGTTGTAATGCAGTGACAAATGGTAAGTAATGTTGGGGGGAGTGGGCTAGGGTGATGTGTTGTTACTCTTCATTCAGTAAAAAGCTCAAGATCTAGACCTCTTAAACGTGCATTCAATAGTCCATTTATGAAGAATAAATTCTTTTCTCCTGCCCAATGTAAATTCCTCCTCTCTCTCCCCCACCAGTTACTAGAAATTGGGGACTTTGGGTCATTGTCATCTTGCTGCCTTATCAGATGACATGGAGTGTTACAAGTAATTTCTTCCCTTCACTGCTGGCTTAATGTGTAGGATGATGACGGTCTTGCAGGAAAAAGTGTCTCCAGTGGAAAATATTGACCAAGTTTTTACTATTTGCTCTTTTCCTAGACCATGTCTAAATTGACAGCAAAAGCTTTGATATATTCATCCAGGAGAAGCTTTATCAGTATTGTGGATAACATTTGAGTAGAAATTACACATTATACAGTACAGATGGCACTCATAGTAATGCATGGCAAAATGAACACTGCAGGTTTTGAAAGGCAATAACATTTTTTACCTAATTCACGTTGGAATGCACAATGATTGCTGATCTTCCTCAGTTGACTTACTGTTTACCTGGCTATTCTCCAAATTGCGTGTATATTTTTTAATTCTCTTCAGCTTACTACACCCAATTTCCTTTACTGAAATATATCTTGTGCATTTTTTCATTACGAATTTTTTGAAAATGATTTTGTATGCTAATCTTGTTAGCAAGATTTTCTGCTTTTCTACTTGAGTATTTTTAGAGCCCATTTTTTGAGAATACCCTTAATTTCACATTGCATTTAAGTGAAAGTGTTAAATGGAAGTGGAAGGGCTTTGAACAATGTATCCATGTCAGATTCAGATGGCACCCCACTAGATGGTCTCAGTGAACTGCTGATTCAGCTTTTGAGAACAGATTAGTTTTGGCTGTTGTACATGTAAAACATACATAAGGCCTGTCTGTATATTTTCCTTTTGAGAATGTTTAGTGGGACAGATCAAGCCACCACCATTATGAGGCACACCATGTCATCGCTTCTCAGATGGCACTGTCAAGGAAGGTTTCTTAATTTTTGTCACAGCTTTCAGTTTACTTTGGATTAAAACTAAAGATTTTTTGATCAGCATATTTATCCTTGATAAGCCTGGAGTGTTATTAGCATTGTGCAGTTGTTTCAAAAGTCTGGAAACACAAGGAGCTATATTTTTATGCCAGCAGATCTTATTTTTCCCGTGTTTTATTTTGGGGGTGTCAAAAATGAGTTCAACAGACTCCTTACAACATCTCAATGATTAATGTATTAAGCCTCTTTCACTAGCATTTCCTAAACTTGTGCATCTAAAAGCAAACATACCCTAATAAATACACCAATATAATCTTCTTACATGGCTTACTGCACGTACAAGAAATGTAGATTGGACTATTTTAAATATTTGTTAAATAGACACCATTTTTTCTACGGTAGTGTGGTTTAGAAACTATTTGACTGCTGTCAGTATTAGAGTTCTGACAAGTACATTGTGTGTTTTTGTTGTTTTTTTTTTTTTTTTTGTTGCAGCAACCCAAAGAGCTGGTAATTTCTCTCTCCTTCTTAGGGACCTTTTGTGTGCAAGTAGATCATGTGAGTCCTAATAGGTCACAGTGAATAAATAGCTCGGCTGAAATCACTGTGCTCAGAGTATAACAAAGGCTTTGTTCTGCTGGGCACAGTGGAGCCAACAAGGAACAGTAGGAGGGTGATGCTAAATGCAACCTCTCTGAATTTTATTAAATACTCACGTACAGTGAGCTGCCTGGGGGACTTGGCAGCTGCACTATGTCTATCTGTCCTTGTCTCCCAAAACCCCATAATAATTACTTTGCTGGATGATGTTTTTGCCATCCATGTGAAGTGTGTTTACAGAGAGAAATAACATGTTAGGATTCAAAATCTGGTATTTCTTTTAGACTGTAAATGTGCTACTGTGCTTCTCTCTTGCTCACTTTCTTCTTTTCCAAGAAGACTTTCACAGGGGACTCCATCATCACAAACTAAGTTATTTTACAGGATGAAATTAATTAACTTGTGTCAATCCAGGTCGTCCAGCTTCTTTTGCAGTACATTTTTTACCAAAATAAATTTTTTTTTAGTGATGCTAATGAAGTGTTCATTGGAAAAACGTTTTCAAAAAATACTTTTCTACATTATTTTGAACTTCAGCTTTTCTCAAATTATAAATGTGCTGCTTATATTTTTTAATTATGTGGAGTATTTAGCTAGGTAGGGCTATTTCATCCAGGCTACTTTAGTTGTGAACCAGTAACCATATTGGATGACAGTAGTTGATGGATATTGCTTCACCTGGTCTCTCCCTAAGTTGTTGTCAATCACGGGCCAATTATACATGTTTTTAATTAAAGTTAATTTGTTCTGCAATACATTTGGGAACTGCATGGAGTTGTCCACAGCCTAAATCTACCCCATCCATGTTTTCCCCTAGGCCTCAAACTCTAGATCACTGGAAACCTTGCTGAAGAAATTGGCATGAAGACCAAAAAGGGCTTTTCTTGCAGCTTTACCAAAGTGGCAATTTCTTGAATTTGGCAATTTTTTTCTCTGTTCCATTCAAGTAGCTGATAAATGGAGGAGAGGGGAAGAAGGTGAAATGGAGGAAGGAGAATTTATCTTTTCCTGTTCAGGCAAGAAACAAGAGAAAGAAAGAGATTCATTTTTCTTTGTGCAGACCAAAGAAAGGAAGAGCTGTGGGAAAGCAAGTTCATGAGAAGAAAGCTACTTGTTTTGAACATGGGTTCTGTGATGGGGTTCTTGTGTATCTATTGTCTCAGGGCATTTTCAGCATTTTTTTTGTGGTTCTGAACTTTTAGTTGTGCAAAATACATTGCAGGGTTGCATTTTCTTTCCATGTGTGTTTGCTGCATATTATGAAATTTAACAACAAGGTGCAGTCTTTTAGAATTGTACTTAATAGTGGCAGAATTTGCTACTTTAACCTAGGACCATTTTGTAAATACCTGCTCTAGCAGTACAACTGTTTGTCATGTTGTTTAAAAAAGTAAGTGAAAAGCATGAATTATTTTAATGTATTATATTATGTAATAGGTCTGCAGCTGACAGGAATTAGTATTCTGATCTCTTAAACGTATCAGAGCAGAATGCAAAGGTACCTTCCTTCTATTTATAAGCTGAGATTTCTGTCAGTGCTCATTACCTTAAGATAGAGTGGAAGACAAGATTGTGTGTTAAAGCTAATTACTACCAAATGTAACGTAGCTGCAAATGTCCTTTGGGAATGGAGAATCTGATTCCATGCCTTACCAGTCACAGTAGAAAGTGATGTCCATCACTCTCACGATTCTGCATCAGAAGTATTATCCTTGAAGAAATAAAAAAGTATTAATTATTAGTTTAGTGCTTATGAATTCTGGGAAGTGAAGGAAAATATGCAATATGGGTAAGCTGTAGTTGTGGTTTAACTCCAGCTGGCAACTCAGCCCGTCATAGCCACTCCCTTACTCCGTGCCAGTGGGATGGGGAAGGGTAAAAAGGAGAAAACAGATGGGTTGAGATAAAGACAGTTTAACAGGTAAAGCAAAAGCTGAACGTGCAAGCAAAGCAAAACCAATAATTCATTCTCCACTTCCTGTTGGGAGGTCAGTGTTCAGCTCCCCAGGATAGCAGGGCTTCATCAAGTGTAATGGTTACTTGGGAAGACAGAATTTCAAACTCATAGCATCATTCCCCTTTCCTTCTTCTTCCTTCAGTTTTTATTGCTGACCATGCTGCCATATGATAGGGAATGTCCCTTTGGTCAGTTGGGGTCAGCTGGGGTAAGCTGTCCCAGCTGTGTCCCCTCTCAGCTTTTTGTTCACCCTCAGCCTCCTCACTGTTGTGATGGGGTAAGGAGCAGAAAAGATATCAGGGCAAAAACTCAACTATGGGCTCCATTCTAACAAAACAAGTCATATAGATGATGATGTATAAATTTTAAATATTCTTCTCTGGAAATTTTCAATAGAATTTATAATTAACTAATAAACAATTATGAAAGCATCTAAATCTCATTTCTACTGATAGTAGCAAAACATTGTTCTTTCTTACAGTTAAGATGGTCTAACTTGGCAAGATTGTTTCTTGCTTTGGCCTAGAGATCAGGGGGCTTTTTCAGGCCCTAATTTATGGTATTGGAAAGGCTGTTTTTAAGTTTAGAGTCTAATCTCAGCATTTCACAGTAAGGAATTCTGAAAAATAAGATTTGTATCTTGTTTTTTTTTAGGGTACCCTTGAAAGTGGAACAAGCAAACAATGCTCGTGATGCCTTGGCTAAAACTGTGTATAGTCATCTGTTTGATCATGTAGTGAAAAGGGTAAACCAGTGTTTTCCATTTGAAACTTCTTCTTTCTTCATTGGAGTTCTAGATATAGCTGGTTTTGGTAAGTATGCTTAAAATAATTTCTAGTTGTTTCTTTTTCCCACCAAAGATTCAATGACAAATTCTGTAATGAAGAGTGGGAGGGTTTTCTTTTTGGTCTTGATGGTTCTTGTAAAGCTTTTGCCATCTTTGGCTCACTGAAATTTAAAACAGGGCTTGTTTTGTCATGTGCTTGAGTCCTGCCAAGGTTGTCCAGGGGAACAGCCTTTGGTTTTCAGGTCTTTAGAGCTTTGATGTTCTGTGCAATCCTGTTGTGTCATAAAAGCATGAGGATGTATTGGTACAACTTCACTGTTTGGTAGCATCTTGCTTTGATTTGCTGCCAAGTGTCTGTCATTTGTCTTTGAAATATCATCTGCTGTAGTATTTTTAGATGCCTTGTGTACAACTTGGAAATCTCTAAAAAAGATTTCATTTTGCTGAAATAAATGGCTATGGATCTGCACACATCTTTAAATATTAGCACTGTGAAGCTTTTCTTATTTACTACTTAATAAACTCTTACTACTAAACTCTTGGAACAGTGCTTTATCATAAAAGCTTAACTTCTGTCTTTCAGAGTACTTTGAACACAACAGTTTTGAACAATTCTGCATAAACTACTGTAATGAAAAACTGCAACAATTTTTTAACGAAAGAATTCTGAAAGAGGTATGATGTATTTACTGTTATATTTGAGGATTTTATTTTTTAATAAGAGATACTTAAAGTAGCACTGCTTTTCATAAGATTACACATTATGTTTCACTTAAAAAAATCTGTTGACATAGTTTCCGTATTATGTGACGTCTAGTTGTGTCAGAAAAGAATGTGGATTTTTGCAAACCGCAAGTGAGGTATCCAGAGATTGGATAATCGCTAATACCTAATGGAAATATTTAATTGAACAGGCTTATCATTAAGGTGTTAAAGTTGGAAGTATTAAGCTGTGTAAGGAAATTCTCAAGTGTGTGTTGATTCATGCTATATTTTTAAAAATTACTTCATGTTTATTATAAAAATATTTTTTTTCTTGATCAGTAAAAAAAAAAAATTAACAGTGGTGTTTTGTCTTTTCAATTACTTTTTAAAAAAAATAACTTTAGGAACAAGAACTTTACCAGAAAGAAGGCTTGGGGGTTAATGAAGTTCGTTATGTAGATAATCAGGACTGTATAGGTATGTACTTCTTGAATTGTCAAGCTTCTTGTTGCTGTCATGGGGAAAAAAGCTTCAGGCAGAAGAGGCAAAATATGCATGGCATTAGTAATTACATGGTTTTATATATAGCCTCATTCAATTAACAATCTTAAGAGTTCATAGGCATTGCTGCAGTACAAGCATTTCATCCTTGCCGCAGGAAAAAGTTCCTAGTCAAAATTCTTCTTACAAGAACAGTTTCATAGAGAATGGAAACAACTTGCAAAACTGTGATTTTGTGTCTAATCGTTTCAGGAGCATGGATTTTTGTGTCAGCTTTCAAGCAAGGGCTTTGGTATATGTATGTGAGAGGTCAAGGCAATGCCGTTGTTAAAAGTTGTGAAACCACCACTGTATGCTCAAGTCTAGTCTGCCTTTCCTGAAACAAATTTCTGCTTCTCACTGGATCATGTTATCAAATGGAAATAGTAACCTTTTAGTTATGACTTGTGGTGAAATGTGGCTGAAAAGCTTAAAAATCTCCCCCATCAATTGAAGCAATTGTCGCATAAAGACCTACGATCTTACTGTAAGAAGACTTAGGCACCTTTTGGATGACTAATTTCAGCTTGAGATCAAGAGTTCAAATCAAACAATCGGTTCCTTGTCTTTTTCTCCCATGTTCCACGAGAGTCAGAGCTTCTGGATTTGATGGATATACTATACATACCAATTAAGACATATCAAATTGATTGATTTGCCATGACTTCTTGTATTTTATTTAATGGCTTTCCATAGGCACTTTTGTAGCAAATCAGATCAGCACCTTTTAGATGTGTAATGTTCAGTGGTGATACGAGTTGATATTTTCATGAATATGTTTTAATATAGTATATTTATATAATTATATATTTTTCATATATTCATAAAATATATTTAATATATTTCCATAAATATATTTTTTATTAATAGATTTGATTGAAGCAAAATTAGTAGGTGTACTGGATATTTTGGATGAAGAAAATCGTCTTCCCCAACCAAGTGACCAGCATTTTACTTCAGTTGTGCATCAAAAACACAAGGACCATTTCAGGCTCTCGGTAGGTTTATTTTTGTTGTCTGTCTTGTTTTAATGAAACAGTTCTTGGAACAGTTGATAGTAATACTTCAATTTAATGAAAATCTTCTGTAAGAAGTCTCATACCGCCCAGTCTGCACAGTCTGTACCTCTTTGTTAAGGACAAGTGTTAGATTTGATGAAAAGTTCACTGAAGGCTTCAAGCAATTCTAATATCCTGCTGAAACTAAAGCCATATTCTTCACTTACATTTGAAGTTTGTTACCATGTAAATTATGAAAAGGAAGTAAAAACACATTTTAATTTAGATTGTTTCATATCAGATGAGTTATTTTGTTGTTTTCAAAAATTGCTTGATTTGGAGAACATTTGTCTAGTGTCTAGCTAGCACTTCAGAGATGAAAATAGGAATCATAATAGGAAAATATTTTTGTCATTTATTTTTTAACATACAGCAGTGTGTGGAAGATTAGGGCAATTTGTTGCAATTTATATCCATCAGTTGTGTTGAAATAAAAAAAATACGCTGAAAAAATGCAAGCAAAGGAAGCCATCTTTTGTCATCCATTTACCAAAATTGTCATATGTTTACCTTGTGTTAAGTTTCTGCTTAATCCTGTTTACCTGAATTGCTGTGCAATGAAACATTCTGGTGGTATGTGAATGATCAGCTGTGTGCTTACATGTTAAGGTATACCATCTAAAGCCGTATCTTAAACTTCTGTTTAATCCTATTCATATAAGAAGGCTATTCATCAGCTGTCAAATGAATGATATAGAGAGTGTTGATTAAAGCAAAGCCAAAATCAACTGGCTGGCATTAGGAATATTGATGACTTGTATTTTGAATGCAATGTATTTAAGAGTGTGGAAGAGTTTGAAATTAGGTTTTTAGAATATCATGGTTTGGACAGGAATGGTAATGATCAGCACAATTGTACTTAAAGGAAATGTGATTTTTAACACCTAGTGCTCCTGCCAGATCATGGTAGTATTCTAAGAATAAACTTTTTCTTAGTCTCCATTGCAATACTTCTTTGTAATTCATCTTCTTAATTCCAGATTCCTAGAAAGTCTAAATTGGCTGTTCACAGAAATATCAGAGATGATGAAGGCTTTATTATCCGACACTTTGCAGGAGCAGTATGCTACGAGACGGTAATTTTACCTATGGAACACTAGGTTTATTGTGTTTTATAGAACATTTATATTTTTTCAGTGCATATAGCTTAAATGACACAATTCTGTGATCAGAAGAGAAGTTTAAGCATTGGTATGTTTTACCTTTGCAGCTAATTTTTTGAGTATTTGACAAAATCGACAGTTTTAACTTTTCAGGTTACAGCCCATTTTAATGACATATGTTTTGTGTAAAAGTTTGTTTCAAATCTATAGGTAATGGTGTCCATATTAAATCTATTGATTCACAATCTACTGCAAATCTTGCATCAAATGGTGTTTACATCCTGGGGAGAAGAATAAACTGTGTGATATAAAAGTATTGTTAGTGAAGAGTACCTTTTTGGAAGCATGATTATCCTTGTACACAGTCCCCGTCATGCTGGCTTTCTACTGGCAATGGACTCATTTGTGTAAAACTACAAAATACCTGAAATTAATACTCTCAAAATACATTCCAGATTCTTGTGCTTTTTTGACTATTACTTATTGCACAAAAACATTGTAAGACCTGAAGCTGTTATCTAGACCATCAATTTTCGAAAAGAAAAGTTTAAGATAAAATGAAGATCTATAATGTTTTGTTGTTCTCTTTTACTCCAGCATGTATGAAGGACACTGCTTGCAAAGAGGTTCTTTTGTCAATTGAAAAAATGTGCTTGAAGGATGTGTCTTTATTTACTTCAAAATATTCCCTAGAATAATGATTGTGTTTTACAATAGATGCATTCTGTGAGTCATTTTAAAAATAAGAAAGTTGAAGCCTCTGTGTTACCTACATGATTTTTCTGAGGTTGCTTAGAGTAGATATCAAAATAATAAATGAGATTTGGAATTCCAATAAAATTGGAGCCAATTTTTCTTTGTTCCAGGTGCTCTATTTTTAACCATGTACCTCATCATGATACACTAATAATGCTTTAGAGTGTCTTCAGGAGCAGAGGAGACAGATTTGATCACATAAACTCTGCTGTCAGAGCTAATCAGATTTGAGGTCCAGGAACTGTTAATATGCTTGACTTTATCCTCTCCCTCAGAGGGACTTTCTTAGCTTGGACCTTAAAACTTTTGCACAATAGCTGCTTTGTAGTACGTAGTACTTCTGTTATTTGGGGTTTTTTGTTGGTGTTTTGTTTTGTTTTGTTAGGTTTTTTTTTTGTTGTTTTTTTTTTGTCACTACACTTTCAGCAGTTCTCAGTCTGATTTGTGGTGAGGACACTTATTTAGCTGCATTCATATTCCTTGTGTCTTCATGGCCCAAGGAAACTTTGGAGACCTGTGTTTGTCCTTTGATTCTTATCACGCTTTTATGGGATATCTGGAAAATTTTCTTCAAAGTAGTCTTTGCCTCTTCTGTTCATTAATATCAGAGTCTCTATTAAGTTGCACCAAAAACTATTGAGGATTTTGTTAATGGAAATTTGGATACTAATGTATTGATCTCTGAGTTTCAATGTAATGTATTGTAATTCTCAAAGTTAGTGATTCAATTCAAATAAACCAGAGATGTAAAGTTTGTAGGAAAGGACAATATGTTTTATTAAATCAAGTGTTCATAAATAGTCATAGTACTACTAAAATAACCTGTTTTCCTTTCTTTTTCCAAATTGTGTAGATGTACCAAGTTAAGTGTGCATGTTAAGTCCCATTTCAGAATAGATCTTAAATGATACGTACTGCAAGCAGTGAAGAATTAAGCTTCTTAGAACTCCCAGGTGATGATGATGTGCTGAGTGCTGGAAATGGAAGGAGGATAGTCATTGACAAAAAACCAACTGATCTCTTTAAAGGCATCAAACCTTTGGGTTTCATAATTCCAACAACATCCTTTAAATTTAAGACTGTCTTTTTTCTCTGGCATTAGGGTTTTGTGTATTAAGCTGAAAAGTTGTTTGAAATAATATATGAATATTTACCCCACGTATTCTTGCTGATTTTTGAATCAAGTATGTAACTATGTTTCCTTTAGTTTTCTAGTTAGAGTGAAGTAACTTGGACAGTAAACCAAATGTGCTCTTATCTCTTGGGTTGTCTTTTCAGATGCAATTTGTGGAAAAAAACAATGATGCTTTGCACATGTCCCTTCAATCTCTTATATGTGAATCCAAGGATAAGTTTGTTCGACAGTTGTTTGAAGCCAACACTAACAATAACAAGGATCCCAAACAAAAAGCTGGGAAACTCAGTTTCATCAGTGTGGGTAACAAATTCAAGGTAAAAATCATATAGTAAAGAGTCCTATCTTCTTGTAATGTATGCCGGTTTTATGTTACTTGAATTAAGTAGAACCTAAACTCGGGAGAACTAGCAGTAACTTGAGATTCAGAAGAAAATTTGGTTAAGTAGATGGTTTTCTTCTGTTGAGTTATAAGAAACTGGTATATTTAAGCTTCGTGCTATGCATTTCTGTCAAAAGTATCTTCCATAATAGTCCTTACAAAGATTATACAGTGATTTTTAGGTCAGAATCTTTCAAAGTCACATGGAAGTCTTTATTCAAAAGGTGTTGAGATTTAAATATGGATTCAGTAGACTTTGAAAGGTTCTAGATGTGACAAAATGTGTTCTTCCATCCTATTGTAATTATGCCTTCTAGAAGATGTGTTGATTTCCTACAGTTGGGCAAACTCTCAAAATTCAATACCTAACCTAACCTCTGTTTTTCCTTTTCTGAAATATATACTTAGTCATGGCTTACACATGGCTTAGGAAGATGTTCATTGTACTGAATGTTTCCTTTCTCAATACCTGAATCTGATGCTTCTCCTCATTTTCTCCTTTCTTCTGATCTTATAAAGCTGACCTTCAAACCCTGTCTTCTCCAAATGTTTTCTGCATCCTTTTCTCATTCAGCAGTTTTATTTTAGCTGGACTATTCCAGCTCAGGATGGCTAGAAAGAGAACAATAGGGGAATTAAGAGATGAAAAGCAGGCACATCGTGGGCTGCAGGTAAATTTTTCAGTCTCATGGATTTACAGTTGGTAGAGCTGCAGCAATTTCAGCAAGAGCTCTTTTCAACACATTCAACACGGGCCAGATCCAATGAACGATTTGTATGCCTTCAAGTCAATTGCTGAAATAGTTTTGGTATGCTACCTTACCTAGGGCCACCAAAAACCCACCTCATGTTCTTAACTAGACTCCTTACACTGTCCCTGTGGAACACAAGTATCTTAGATAATCCAAAAAATCTGCATATAGAGTGAGACATTGCCAGTAGCAGAAGAGTATTTCTGCATTTCTGCTCCATATCAAGGGTAAGTACTGGATCAGGACTACAAGATAAATTCCTTCTTGCATAATCATATCTTGTGGCTAGCATTTGGAACTGTTCTATAAATATGCAGGGGCTGAAGAGCAGGGAGGATATGGTAGCAGCACACTTGCTTTTTATAGCAATACTATTCTGCTTCAGGTCTATACTATATTCAGTGTTCTATGGCTGTTTTATTTCCTGTAGTGAGCACCAAGTTATTGGTCAGTCTGACAAAGGGTGTTCTCATTACACCCTTCTGGAGTTGTTTGGTTAGGTAGCCAGGAATAAAATTTTCATGGGGCCATGAAGAGTGAGAGACAGAGCCTGACTTGTAAGGTAGTGGTTTTGGCATTTAACTGGGAATTGGGCAGACTGCTCTCCTGAGTTTTGCTCTGCTGATTCTTTTTAACTCCTTCCTCTTCTATAGTGGTTGTTGAATTGAAGTGTAACAGTTGGTTTAATATAAAATACATGATCATCAGTAGTCTGAAACGTTGCAAACAGAAAAGCCATGTCCTGAGCAAACCATGCAGCCATGAGTCTCCTGTAAATGAAGCTAGGATTTTTTAGAACTGTATTTTTAAAATAAAATCAACTTGGGGATCTTTTGAGGTAGTTTCCTCTTCCTTCCATCTGGATTTTCAATTTCTCTTGGATTTAGCACCCCATGTTCAGGTGATGTGGACTTGTGCATTATACCACTGCCCAAGGAGAGGTGAATTAAAAGGGAGGCATTTTTAAAGTGAAGCAGAAATCAAATGGGGAACTTTTTGGATTTCCTTTTGAACCTGGATATTCACCTCTCGAGCTAGAACACAACTCATGTCCTCTTTGGATCTGGCCCATCAATCTATAATTCTTTCAATGTTTTCAAGTTTCATGGCATTTTGAATGTATGTGTTATTTCCAATAATTCATTTAGTGTTACCTTCCCAGACACAGCATGTGATGCTGATGAACACTAATAGCCTTGAAAATTTTACTTCATATGACATCAAAATAAAGTCTTTTATCTGACTAGATAATTCATCTCCCTAAGAATAAGAATTCTTAGTGCATTAATTTGTAAGTCAGTCTTCTGAACTACTGAAATTAGAACTACTTCTAATTATATCAATTGCTAGATGATGTTTCAGGGACTTCTCATTATGAAATCCTTCACATATCCCTTCCTTATAACTAACTAAAATGAATTATAAATCAGTTGAGAAAATAATGATTAATTTACCATCAGATCTCTTCAAGATTATTTGAGCTGATCTTACCTTTTGCTAGTGATACATTAAATTGTGACAATTCAAAGAACAGTAGTTTTAGCAATGTGATTTTGTCATGCACATTTTGTTGGAGAAATTCACCTGAGACTGTCTCTGGCTTATTTCTTGTCAAATCACAGAGTATAAGGAAGGGTTATTTTTCCTCAAGCGGAAATGTATTTTATTGATGGAAATTAGTCTGTCGCACACAAATTTAAGTGTTTCCAACTTAAAAAACCATAATTATTATGATCAAGTTGAGATATAAGAAGTATGTGTAACTGAGAACTGATCAGGAGGTTATTAGTGTTTGTCATGCTTCTTGTGGCACTTTTTCTAACCACATACATGTTAAGCTAAAAAAATCCCAAATCAATTTTATGTACCAGAGGGACAACTGGCAGCTGTAGGTGATGCACACTACCCATACAAATCTTGTTTCTTGGATTCAAGGTAATTGAAAGATCTGGCTAAAAAAAAAAAAATTAGTCAAGAGTCACATTCTTTGAATTTGCTTCCAGTGCTGCAAATGAATGCATTAGGACATACTGAAATTTGTATTGCTGCAGTCTATATACTTAAAGTTTGCTAAAAAACTAGAAAGGCTGGCCCAAGTGGTAATTCATGTAGCAAAACAGACACACCTCTAAAGTAAAAATATTGCTGTTTTTCTGATGTGGTTTTGGAATATTTTAAGTCCCTACCAATTACTTTCAATAGGAACTCTAAATTGTTTTCTCTGATAGCCCTAAGTCTCTGGTTATCCTGAAGACTTGACTCCAAGTAATAGTAATATTGCAGTCTTTTCTCATCAGTATATTTAAATGCAACCTCAGTAAATATAATTTTAAAATTGTAGGGTTTTTTTCATCAATAGAAAATTTAAAACTTTGGAAGTTTGGAAATAAAAAATGATTATTTCAGGTACATGTTGACATAACTTCAAAAAATCCCAGAAGAAAAGCCTGGGAATATACTTTCTATGTTAATCATTTAACATACAAATAATGTTTGTTATGGATTAAATTTGGGATTTCACTAATTTTTAGTGTGTTTTTTAAAAATTATTGCAGATTGGTCTCAATTTTTAAGTGATTTTATTACATAGTCATTAATTTTAATTTCCCTAAATGGACATGCATGTTTTTTGATAACAATGTTGAAATAAGTGATAATCCATGCAGTGTTGTTGTACAATTAAATACAAGCAATTTCCTCGGGGCCATTCATGCACACTTGCATGATTTTGTCTATTAAAATTTGTGAATGCTTGGTTTATCAGTTCTGTCTCACTAACAAGGAACATGCATGCAATAATGCTGTACCTCTGTTTGGTGTATATGTTTCTGTACTTGGTGTGGTAAGGCTGTTGAAATACCTGTTTTCTTTTACAGACTCAGTTAAATTTGCTTCTTGAGAAGCTTCATAGTACTGTAAGTATTTATACACATTCACAGTTTTCTGATGTAAGGCAAAATACATTATCTCAATATTATGGCTTACAATAAATGTAATTAGTAATTACTTAACAGTTTGCAGCTACATGGCACTTCAGGAACATCTTGCTGTACATGTGTTGGCTATCAATTTACTTATAAAAGGAAAATGCACCACATTCAAAAAAGTTGTAGAATGAAAGTTAAACAATTTGAATAAGCAATATGAAATCTGGCTGTGCTGCAATCTTCTTTTTTGTCACTTTTACTTCTATCTGTGCATTGGTTATCATTAATGACTAATGTGCAGAAAATTTAGAAATGCTTCTTAGAAGTAAGTTATTTAAGAAGTAATTTATTATTAATTACTGCTTTCAGATTCTATAAAGTCATTAAAATATAATCTTTCATTTTGCTTTTTTGACAGGCTGTAAATGCACAGGTGGTTAAAGAACCTGAGTCCCCTAATAAATATTTGTTAATTTGGCTGATGCAATTAGTTGGTGAAATTCTCCCTGTAGTACAACATGCCATTTTCTTTTAGAACTTGGAGTTGTAGGAACACGATGTTGTTTTTCTTGATCACGTGTTCTAACCAATTATAGATATTAGGTTATGCTCTGTGAAAAAAAAGAAAAAAGTGGAAAAGCAAGGGAGACAAAGGAGTGAGGTGCTGGAGTATAGCCAGCATATAAGATTTACTATAGTCATGAGACTGGTCTGAAGGATGATCTGTTTCACCCAGAACATTCTGGAACTAAAATACAGTCTGGGGGAAAAGTGTGTGGCCAGGCTTGCTGTACTCTTGAGTTTAGCTCACCCATGATTGAGGAGAAACTGTTAATGTAGAGCTCCCTTGTCAGGTGCTGTCTCATTCTTAGCTGAGAGATGGAAAAAAGAGAATATGCTACAAACCAGGATTAATACTACATTTTCTTGGTTCCAATTTTGTTTCAGTATATTCAAAGTTGTCATTAGCAGTCACCTTTTATAGAAAATTTTGAGTAATTGGGTGGTGCTTGGCAAAATGTTAGGCTTGACTAATGTGAAATGATCAGAGAGAGTGGTGGTCAAAACTGTAGCACACGTAGTCAATAACAGAGGAGCAGACTGGAACAACATCAGGGAAGGGAGACTGAAACTGAGCCAAAGGAAGTTGTAAAAAGTAGAAGTTAAGGGAGGACAGGTTCATCTGGCATGACTCTGATGTCAGGAGTCTGGTAGCATGTTTGCTGATGTGAACTCTGGGGCATTTTAGTGTTGTGACTGTAGAAGATAATGAGGGTAGTAGGCTCTAGAGTCATAATTCATAGATTTTATACATGTTGAGGAGAAAAGTTGAATGAAAATTCAACAGATTTGAAGATCCAATTAGTAGCTTGAGCACTGAGATCAATTACATCAAGACCAAGGTTACAGTGTAAAACTGATACATGAGAGAAAAAGAATGATGCTGGGACTTGATTATCGTTAGGGCCCATTCCAACCCCTTAACATTCTATGATTCTGTGATAATGTCAGCATTTCTCTTTTAGAATACTATTATTTTGTATCGTCCAACCCCCCCCCCCCCAGTAAGTCTTAAATCATTAACTGCTATTTTAGGAGTTGTAAAAATATGTGGATTTTGGTAACTTCTCGCTTTGGTCACAGGGGTCGAGCTTTATTCGCTGTATCAAACCTAATCTCAAGATGACAAGTCACCATTTTGAAGGAGGACAGATCCTCTCTCAGCTTCAGTGTTCAGGTAATGTATGCCTCTGGTATTTTTCCCTCTGATTTTTACTTTGGGGATTATATATTACCCTGAATTTGAAATATGTGGGATGAAAGCAGTATTTCCTTGCTTGAACTGTTTTCTAGAAGGTAGGTTATTTATGCTATTTAGATTTTTAGTAACTTAGCACTCATTTTTGTCAATAGAGCCCTAGAAATAATTAATCTGAACTGCTGTTAGGACTCTTCTTGCAAAGAAGAGTTGCCCATGGTATTAATAGGACACCAGTTCCATCTGGAACAATATAATTTTAAATTTCTGTGGCAGTTGAAGTGTTAGAAACTCCTGTGTGTATTTAGAGGCAGTCAGTGTTAGCTGAGATAATAATTGAAGCATACCAGTGTTCTTTGATTTTATAGATACTTAGATTGAGTTTAATTATACTAATTTACTTTCTAAAAAAATTCTTTATATCACTATTAACTTGATTTGGAGCTGAACATCCAACATGGATGGAATGCTGCATCTTTGTTTTTCTTGAAATGCTAGATGCTTTCCAAATTTACAGCTTCATTTGCTCGTGCCTCACTGAACTTTTTGAAAAACAAAGACCGTATAAGCAAATTAAATTTCTGTTGAATGCAAGTATGCAAAATACTAAGTTTTATGACAGCAACCACACGTTAAGGTCTAACTTGAAAACTTACCTGAGCCTCTGTTGATAGAGTTATATAAAGTAAGGGGTAAAAACTGGTATGGCCTGTGCTGCTGAAGTAATTTGAGTCTTCCTTACTGTGTCTGGACTTTACTGATGTCCTAGTTGCAGCCAAAATGAAATAACATAATTCAGACCATTAAAGTTACATCATAGCAGCTGAGACTTTGTATTTCAAATACACTAAATGTTCTAGTACTGCCTATGTATTTGAAGTTTCATCTGCACCACATCTCACAAATACCATTCACTTGATTAAAATAAAATCGTGGTTGGCCATTATTTGGTGGTTAGGGGTGTGGATTTGAGATTTTTTTTTTTCCCTATAGAAATGAAGATGTCAAATCTGATGAAAAATAAAATAAAAATTATTGGAAATATTAGAAAAAAATCCTATGGATGATTGAGTGTTACCTCTCATATCGGGAGAAAACTTGATGGGCTTTTCTCATGTGTTCAGTATTATTTTTTTGTGAAGGATCACATAATCAAAAAATGCTACAGGCTTGATCAAATCCCAGCTTAACTTTGTGGTTTAGTCTCTGAACAATGTCTTTGAGTCTTATGTCATAAACCTACTGGTTATCATAAAATTCACTGCTTAATGTGCATGCTGCTGATCCCAGTTTTTGTGCATGTGTCTCTGTGAATTTAGGGATGGTGTCAGTTCTGGATTTGATGCAAGGTGGTTTCCCGTCACGAGCTTCATTTCATGAACTATACAATATGTACAAGAAATACTTGCCTGAAAAATTGGCTCGACTGGACCCTAGACTCTTTTGCAAAGTAAGAAAGAAAATAATTCTTCTGTATCATCCAGGAAAGAAATTGTATTGTGATGTTGGTTTTTGTTGGTTATTTGAAGGAGGTAGAATATAATCCTTTCTGTTTTCTGTGTTTCAGGCCCTATTTAAAGCCCTGGGACTGAATGAAAATGATTACAAATTTGGGCTAACCAAGGTGTTTTTTAGACCTGGCAAGGTAATTTTTTTTTGGAGTTCGTGATTATGAATCTTAGAATAATTTCAGTTTGAAAGGACCTTTGAAGGTGACATTGTTTAACACATTGATAAAAGTATAGCCAACCTAAATAAGGTTGCCCAGGAATTTTGTAAATAATTTTGTTCATTTTCTTTGAATAAACCACAAAATTAGTACTGATACAATTGGTTTTATAGTCTTGTCTTTGATGCTACAGTTTTTTGTAATGCAATGTTTCTATTCCAAGAATTGTGTTGGCTATTAAAAAAAGAGGAAGTCAGGGCCAAGAAGAAATATTTTCTAGTAAAACCTCTTTATAGCTGAAATCTCTTTCTGTGATTCTGAGCATTGCTGCTTCTATTCAGAGAAAGGAGGTGAAGTCGAGAGCTATTGTCATGAGAAAGGAAAATTATTGTAATCCCAGAAGAATGTTCTTCCTGTCACATAATTACTGAAAAGCAGAAGTGCAGGATTTTCAGAAAACATTGCCTTCGATGGGAACCTTATACAAAGGTTAAAAATTGAGACGTGCTTTCAGCTTTTATTTTTTCCACAGATATATAATTACATGTGTCTTGAAGTTGTGGAAGGCCAGAGTTCATTTCCAGGATGTAGAAAAACAATTGCTTTAAAAAATTTTGGCAATAAATATTTTTGATGATTATATTATTCAAATGATTATATTATTATATTATTAATAATGATTATATTATTCAAAATTCCAAGTCTTGGACATCTATAAACACACATATAAAAATCTGCATTGTAATTTCTTTTATCATTAAAGAATAAAGTGTAATAAAATTTATCTGCTGACTTTAAATGAAAGCTAATATAAGTTTACGTTAAAAATATTTTAACATTTTAAGTCAGCATGATCTTAAATAATAATATCTAACATTCTCTGTCCTCCTAATATGTAAAACTTGTTTTAATTATCATTTAGTTTGCAGAGTTTGATCAGATAATGAAGTCTGATCCGGATCACTTAGCAGAGCTGGTTAAACGAGTGAATCGCTGGCTTATCTGCAGTCGTTGGAAAAAAGTTCAATGGTGTTCTCTCTCGGTGATTAAATGTATGTGTTTTATGTTTTATTAAATCAAAATGTTTGTTAAAAATACAGCAAAGCAATTATTATCACCTTGAAATGCGGCCTAGGACAGGTCTAGAAGATGATACATACTGAAGTCTGAGTAATTGATTTAAAGTTTGGTGAGATTTTTCTTGAAGTGCACTGTGCAGAGTAGGAATAAGGTGGTGTGAAATAGAGATTGGCATTTGTGGTGTGCTTCAGTAAAGGTGTCTGGGAGATGGGGAAAGGCCTGATGCAGAATGTCAGCAATCTCTAATAACATGGAGAGTAAAACTGTGCATTAAAATGGGGAAGAAAGGCATAAAGGCCTCATGCCAGTGCACAGATGGCTGTGCATTTGGGCCAGTACAGTCATGGCTTCCACATCTGTCACTGATTATTATTTGTTGCTGTTTACAGTGGAGCAAATAGAATTTCTGAATTATGATACAGATTTCAAGCATCAGAGATTGTAACACTAAAATCTTGGGTTTGACCTAGACATTTATGCCATTTAGTCTATTTTTTTCAGAAAGACAGGAAATATGTCACCATGTGCAAAAAGTAGAAACACAGGGAAATAATATTGATTATTATTTCTTTGTAGTATTTTATGGGAAATCGGAAGCTAATTTTATTCCCAGTACAAAGTTGAAACAAAGATAAACAAGAAGTAGAGTTCATATTTGTGACAATCTAAGTCCATTGGTTAAACATCACTGTGTTCACAAACCATGTGCTAAAAGCAGTCTGGATCCACAGGCATCTTTGTTTTCTCTAGAAAATCTGTGAAAACTCATTTATTGTTGTACTTCTGAAATACTCAGCATACATGCATGTGCTAATGCCTTGATACTCTGTTTAACTTGCCTCCTGGTCTCAATCATTTACTTAAGTCTTTAGATGAACACTGTACTAGAACAAAAGCTAGAGGTTTTGTTCTGTTTTTTTTTTTTTTTTTTCATTCCAGTGTTATAGGGAAATGCTCAGTGAAGTTGCAGCCACTTTATTATCTGTAGCAGATATTGGCTACTTGATTACTCTTCAGCACAGGACTAAGACTCCAAGCTGAGTGTTTCCTGCTTGCTAGAGCCTATGACTTTCAGAGGTTACTGATATCTGTCTGTCTAGAGGGGTGTGTGAGTGTTCCCGTTTCATTGTTCCTGTTGGTTTTGGGTGAGAGTCTCTGTGCCTGTCCCAAGATTCTGCTATTCTGTTTCTTAAATATTGTGGTTCCAACATAGAACAAGCTCTCAAGCACATATAGTCTGCATACAGTTTTGAGACATCAAACGTATGAGGAAGATAGAAGTTGAGTTAAACTGTATAAGCCATTAAGATTCTATTTCCTGTGTATTTACAGTGAAAAATAAGATAAAATATCGAGCCAGTGCCTGCATTAAAATACAAAAGACTATTCGTATGTGGCTTTGCAAGAGAAAGCACAAACCACGGTAAGAAGATATTCCTTGGTTGAAGAAAATATGTTTTAGATAATATTTTCTTCTGACTGTTAGGAAGAGGTTTACATTACTTAACTAAATCTATCTGAAATCATAGAATGATGCTAAGTACAATTAAAAGAGACTGAGAGGTTCTGTGTTGTTTCCCAAGGATTAATAGATTCAATCTGAACCTTACCTAAAAGATGTTTCTTTAGCTCTTTGTTCATAAAATCCTTCAGTGACAGCCTTGTTTTTAGAAATAATTTTATTAAGTCTGTCTAATTTAATTTAAGCTCATTAATTTTTGTCTTGTACCCATTCACGCCTTTCTTTATAGGCTCCCTTTCATTTTTATCTTAGAAATAATAACTGTCTTGTCTCCTCTTGAAATTAATTCCATTAGCTGGTTGCAGGGAATACTGATGGAAAAATTGCTTCAATCATTAAGCTCTGCTGACACCTTTATGTTCTCTGACAGAGATGCAATTCTGTTCTAGTTGCAGGCTTCTCATAAATTCTTTTACATCCTTTGAGAGCTATGTTTCATTTTGAATCTTGGCATTTCTGACTTTTTTTTGTCTTTTTGAGCTATTTGGTGCTCATCTTTAATGATTTGATTTAGTTTCTACTTCTGTGTGTTGATTTGCGTATCCCAATACAGTGATTTCTGTTTAGGAAGATTGTCTGCAGAGTTGTAAGTTTTGTGTGGGGCCTTCAGTAATGGTTCTCAAAAAAACTCTTGAGATTTCCTGAACTTTTCCCCAGCCTTGTTTTCTCACTCCTTTGGGGTGTAATAACTGTGTTCCCTGCTGTGTAGTTAAGTTTTTTCTGGTTCATTCTGTTATTGCTCTTTGAATAAGTGGCACTATTCGACCTTTATCCCTTCCAGTTCAAATCTTCTAGGGGATACTAGTGATTTATTATTGTGAAAAATAGAACAAACACACCAACCCAAATTAATTCTCAAAATCAAAATGCATTTTTCCATTTTGAGTCACTGTGTGCTAAGTAATTTTGATTACTGCTTGGAAAAGGTTACATTCCTTAGTTACTTGATGTGATAATGCTTGAATTTCAAAAAAGAGGATGAGTTGTCAGAAGGCATACCTTGTCTCCCCATCTACCTTTATTACATGAGTGACTAGTGGAGTTTTAGAAATATCACCTTCCAAAATCATCTCAAGATAAAAATAAGCTGTCTTTCCTTCACAGCATTGATGGGCTGATAAAAGTACGTACACTGAAGAAGAGACTTGATAAATTTAATGAAGTAGTAAGTGCTCTGAAGGAGGGGAAGGCAGAGACAAGCAAGCAGGTCAAGGAGCTGGAGGATTCTATTGATGCTTTAATGACCAAAATTAAGGTATGTGGTAATAATGAGAGAAATAGTATCTTGGTACTGGAATTTTTAAAAAGCTTCATCTAAAAGAGAAGGCAATGTATTTTTCTAGTAGAAAATATACTTTAATGTACTGGTCTTAATTTTCAATCATTTCAATCATCCTGTTTAAAATTATTTGTAAATGTAACTGAAGTGAATCTTGAAAATAGGTTCATATATCTAGACTTTGATATCTGTGTGTCAAAACTGGCACAGAAGGTTTTAAAGAAAAATGCATGTTGCTATTATGAGTTTTGTCAATAATTTGTTGGTTGCTTTCATTATTGGAATAATGTATATTACCAATACTTTAACTTAATAAGGACTGAAACAAGGCATTTATCACAGAATAAAGACATTTATTTTCCAGTTATGAGGTTTTTCAGACTTAGTAGTAAAGAGAATTCAGCTTGCTGGTTGTGCTTCAGTCTGCAGTCCTCTCTTTCTTAGCTCAGAAGTGCAAAGACAAAATGAAAGCGCACTGGCATTTATTAGTATTGGAAAAAATTTGGTTTCTTGAATATTTCATGCAATATTATGGCTTTCTTAGTGTTTCATATTAAGACTTCTCTATTGAAGAGCACTGTTGAAAAAATGGTAGAGTTAACCTGTCAACTTAGAGTTCTCTTTTCTAATAAAAGGGATATAATTTGATTATGATCATGATACACTATTAGAAAAGGTCAGCAAACCCCCATATTAGTTTTGTTAGTAAGATATGAATTGTAAAATGAAATTAAATGGTACCTGTCAATAAGGTTTGAAAATGTGTGTAGTAAAGGCTGTTTTTAAAGCATTTTCAACCTGTCATTAACTTTTTAAAAAAAGTTAGTCATAACACAGTGCAATATTTTTTCTGGGTGCTAGCAGAAATATTAAGGAAAAGCTATTTTATGCTATGACATTAAAGCAGAGCTGTAAATAACCACTAAAGAAGATAAGAACACAATGGAAAATGCACATGGGCAGTCCTTAATTTCCATCCAGCATGTTAAGAATTAATTTCTGTTCCTTAAAACTGCAAGGTCTATAATATGAAGGTGTGTTTTGAAAAGAAGTCATGTTTAATTTCACTGATGAAATGTAGATTAGTTTGTGTGGTTTTATAGGAGAGGGGAGAGGAAAGGTTCCTCAGGATTTTAGAAAGAAAGGGAAGAATGGATTTAAGCTTCCCAACCTTGAGGTGTGTATATATGGTTTAAGTATAGTGCTCAGTGATCTCGTTTCACTTAATATTTTTTAGTATATGCTTTCAAAAGTGAAGTACAAATAAAAAGGGATAACCGCCTTAATATTTTTGCAGACCACTATAATGACTAGAGAGCAGATACAGAAAGAATATGATGCTTTAGTAAAAAGCTCAGAGCAGCTTCTGAGTGCACTGCAAAAGAAGAAGCAGCAAGAGGATGAAGCAGAGAGGCTACGACGGATCCAGGAGGAAATGGAAAAAGAAAGAAAGAGACGTGAGGAGGAAGACCAAAAACGAAGGAAGGAAGAAGAGGAAAGACGTCTGTGAGTCTTGAATTTGAATAAGTTGCTGGTTAGAGAATCAGAAGAAAACAGGAAAGGCTTTTTAATGAAGTTGATCTTGATATACTTTCACTTAGAGAGTCACTTGGATTGTATTCCGGGTGTTCTGTGCAGTGTTGAAATGTTTCCCAGTGATTTATAAGGCAAGTGTCAGAAGAGCATATGGAAGAAATTATATAATGCAGCTGGAAGTACAGATGAACTTGAAAAATTTCATGACTTACATCTAGTATGCTGTCATCAGGACTGTACTGACTTCTGGATTACCATTCAGTTTTATGAAAGAGACTTGGTATTTCTTACTATTTCTTGTTCACTTGACAAAATGTTCTTGTTCACTATCACAATGACACGTTTTCATTTCCTTCTCCTCTTATGTAATAGGAAATCTGAGATTGAAGCAAAGAGAAAACAAGAAGAGGAAGAGAGAAAAAAGAGGGAAGAGGAAGAAAAGCATATTCAGGTTAATGCTTTAGCTGTGTGTGGCATTGGGGGATTTTTTTGTTATTGTGGTGGTTTTGGGGCTGTGTGTTTTGTTTCTTGTATTCATTTACTTATTTATAAATCCTTTTTGTAGCTTACATTCTCCACTGAGTTTAATGGCTTCTTTCTGTAAATGCATGTCTCAGAGTCATTCACCAGTGTTGCTTTATTAGTAAATATAAGGCATGTGTTATGTTTAGGGCATCCCAAGACAGATCACCTATTTCTAGTTCCCATCCAACTTCAGATATTCTGAGTGTAGGTGCATCTGTTTTTAAAGGATTAAAAAGTTATTTTAAAAGTACACAACATTGGAGAGTCCTAGTTAAGCCTTTGAAGGTTTTGTGGGTGGTCCATGTCAGGCAAGTTTGGCATTCTTTTACTAGAGTCACATATTGACTTGTACTATGTCATTTACTTGCTTAACTGCAAACACTTTCAGAATATTGGTAATAATGAGAGGATGCAGGACTGTCCTTGTTAACTCCTCTGGCTACATTCATGTACACTAAATGAATGCAGCTCAGACCACACTCTTCCACCCTTCCATTTGATTTACGGCAATTCTTACTGTATTCATAATAAGCTCTCATTCTGAGGTTGGTTTGGCCCCTATATCCCTCTTTTACTTTTTTCTTGGAGATTGCTTGGGTGACCTGGGGTAGCAGTCTTATGGGAAAAAGAACACCTATAATGATTGTCTTGATCAATGTTTCTTGGTTTCTGAGCTGTGGATATCTGCAATGCAGAATGTAATTTACACTTTTACTTTAAAATGCTGTGTTTGGATCCAAGCAGATACATAATCCTGTAGGGTGTTTCATTCTCCCACATACAGATAATTTCTCATTATCTTTCCTTCTGGTGGTTGGTTTTATCAGGTAATCTAAAATGAGATTCATAGGGTAAAGTCACTGATGTAACTCTACAGTTTTAGTGATGCAACTTCACAATGATTAGTGGAAAGCAGCTTTGTTTCATTTGTTAATTTTTGGGCACTGCTGAAACTTGGTGTATGTGCCTTTTGAAGGTATGAATTGGATGGTCCTGTTTTACTTATTGTGTAAGCAAGGCTTTTTGTAGAGTAGTGATGGTAAACTGCCATTATTGTTTGGCTCTGCAGAGGCAGTATATTTGAATTGCACTAAATTGGACGTTTTACCATTTGCTGAAATTCAAAGTCAGACAAGTTCCACAGAGAATTCCAGTGTCTATCTTAATCCCTTTTCAAAATGAACTACAGATCTATGTCCAAATTAGTGCCTATAATGTCCTGTAATTCCAAGAGCAGAATAGCAAGAAAGTGTTGTTAGTGCTATGGAGGATAGCTATAGTCTGTTTCATTTAAGTTTTAATGATTCTAAAAACTTTTGAAGACTAATTTTTAAAATAATGAACAAAATATTTCACATATTAAAATAAATAATAATTACTTGGCATTTTATTAAAAAAGGTAATATAAGTGGTGGACAATATTTGATAAACTATATGACAACCAAGATTCAGTTTGTAGCTGTTTCATTTTTCTTGGGTCAAACTCATGTTGTTAATTTTTCAATTCTTTAAACTGTATGTATTTTCAGAACCCAATATGCTTCTTATTATATTTTTCTAATACTGCTTATATAGCATTTTGATTTTGATTGGGTGTCTTATTCTAAAACAGGCTGAAATTGAGGCTCAACTAGCTAGAGAACGAGAGGAGGAAACCCAGCACCAGGCAGTGCTTGAACAGGAGCGTCGTGACCATGAGCTTGCAATGAGAATTGCCCAGAGCGAGGCAGAACTCATCAGTGATGAAGCTCAGCTTGATTTGGGTCTGCGCAGGTATGGAGTTTAGTAGTTACATTTTCTTCCCTGTCATGTTTTTTCTCCCTATCCTGATCCCTTTGAGAAGGCTATGCTCTTGCTGGGTTTATGAAACTTTGTGTTTAGTAAATGGAGCTTCTATATCAGTGTATTAGAATGTTTTTCATATTAACTTTTCTAACAAGGATGGCAAACTTAAAATTCTGATTTTTATGACTCATTTAAAGTAGGGAATAGAATTCAGTGGTAAGTAATAAGATACATCTTTGCTAGGACTTGATGGTTCCATTTGTACAGTGAATTTGTGTGGGTTTTTTTTTATAAACAAGAAACCCTCTTGGAATGCAGAAATAAAAGTAACTTCTGGGCCCTGAATGGTAAGTTTTTTCAAGTGGAATGAAAATATCTAACATAGATGGGTTGAAATATTGTTAGTCTTGTTTTGTGTGGATTTTTGATGTGCAATAAGAAGAGCTTAACTTTTGATGCACAGAACCACACTGCCTGTCTGCAAAGCAAGAGCTCTTCATGTGTAAAAGGTGATGCCTTAGAAGCAACGTGGAAGTTCCAGTAAAAATAGTGATTATTGGTCAAGTTGCATAAAGGGACCTATGAACATGATCACATGATTGGTGACTTCATTGGTATGACTCTACTCAGTTGTTGTTTAAATGAGTGCAAGAAAATCCCCTGTGTTGCCAAGGAATTTCAAACTCCCAGATGTGTTCCATTTACTACCCAATTTTCATCTAGATGTATGCTTTTTTTAAATAACTGTATGCCTGCTTGAGAGAGGTGGGTAATGTTTTTGTCATGTTCAATACTGACTTTTAGACACTTCCACTGAAGTAGTTGTGGTTTTTCCGTCAGTTCTACAATAGCTGTCATATTGTCTCTGATGAGACTGACGTGCTCCATTCACAGGATCAGAATGGTTTTGGATGGAAGGGGATGACCTTGAAGATCATCTCGTTCCAACCCCCTGCCATGGTCAGGGACACCTTCCACTAAACTAGATAGCTCAGGGCCCCATCCGAGCTGGTATTGAGCACCTTCAGGAATGGGGCACCTGCAGCTTCCCTGGGCTTGTTCCAGTGCCTCACCATTTTCCCTGTCTGGATTTTGGTGCAACACTTTGAAGGTAAAGTCACTTCAGTGTTGCAACCTGGCAGAGTTCTCTTAAGAAGGAGAGAGGGAGGCAAAAGACAAGAGCTCAGAGAATTCAGTAACTTTTCTGTCAGTGAAGCTCTAATCTCCACTGCGTTTCCTACTACTCATAGGTGAATTTTGGCATTTGTCTTTCTTGTATAATCCCAGAATGGATGATGAACTAATTGTCATCACAACTCTTTGACTGCGACTTTCTATCTGCCATGTAGCTAGCACAGTTCTGCTGTGTAGCTGGTAGGAGACTGAAGACCATTGTGAGTGATTGGGAAGTGCTGAATGGTCTGAACATGTTAGCATAGGGATGTAAACCTTTCTTTGAACAAGGTAATACCTAGATCTAGAAAAGAAGTGATAGATTTTTCTGCTTACATGAGATTTTTTATCTCATTGATAAATTGTTTTCCCTTGTTTCTAAAGTTTACTTCAAATAGTTTATAGCATAGGCAAAACCTGAATAGAATGCTTTAAATTTAATATGTGATTTTATTTTGCTTTGTTTAAAATCAAACTAAAACATTACTCAGGTCCCAGTATCTTCTACTGAAATCAGAGGATAGATTTTCATATAATTTCAGGAGTTGCCTTAAAGGTAGCAAGTGTAGAAATTCAGTGAAAACTATTGGTTAGAACAAAATATGTAATTTAATAATTAAATCATAAATTCATAGGACTTCTTTTACATTATACCAATCAAAATGTTGCTGGAGTCTAAAGAAGTTATAGTCTACCATCTGCTGCATTTGAGACTGACATATTACCATGTGATACACTAAAATCACTGACTTTTCTATACATATTTATACCTTCTCTGTTAAATTTTGCTGTAGTATAAAGCATGTATGACTTCATACTGAATTCATGAGTGTACTGGTTTTGCAGGGTTTTCACAGTTTTGTAAAAAATGATTTCATGCTTACAAATTGACATGAATAAAAGAATGTTTTACATTGTCTGGTGGTTACTGCAGAGTGAAAAGAGGAAGAAAAAGGTGATTTTATGTGCTCAGTTTTAAGAAAGCTGCCACACTTTTGTGTTGCCATATTTGAATATAAGTGCCTCTAGTTTATTTATTTTCTTCGCAATACTTTGCTATATTCACTTTCATAGCTTTTATAGATATTTCAATGTGCATAAGTATTAGCAGTTTCCTTGAAAAATATATTTGTTGGATTCTGTCAAAGAAGAAAAGTTGTTTGTTCTGGCAGCAGATTCAGCATTTTAACCTGTGCTGGATCTGCTGGACCTCTTCTAGCTTTATCCAGTTTTACTACTCGTCCACAGTTTGAAAGGATGTGTAATACATGATTTACTGCGCCCGGGTAGTGATTAGCACTTAAGTAAAAAAATATAATGTAAATACTAGGTATCTGCTTTCAGCTGGGCAATATTTTTCATTCATGTGGCTTATTTAAACAGACAGCATGGCATGTAACACCAAAAGAAGCTAGTCTTAGAGAGTGTTGTGAGTGTATCTGTTCTGAGTGTTGCATCAGAACAATCCAAAGTGAAGTCCTAACGTAGCATGTTTAGTGCTACATGTGTGCACCTGTGGGTTTCCAGTATAGCACTTAGACTTGTGGTCTGTTCACAGCTTGCATGAAGAAGCACCCGTCCTGTTCCCAGAGCAGCTATGGCAGAATTGCTGTTATTTCTCGTGATACGCTTATCCAAGCGTGAAATAAATCAGTAGCATGTCTCAAAGTCTGATTTTGAAAGATTGGACAGAGCAGAAAGGCTAGGGGAAGCTTTCACTTGTACTTTTTTTTCCCCCAGATTATCATTTAAGTTATGATTGAATGAGAAAGTTGGGGGGGAAGGTTTGTATAATCAGTTAAAAAATAATAATAAAAAACTTCATAAGATAAAATAAAGAAGATGTGAGAGAGCAGGAAATGTGGTGACCCACCTTTTCTCACTTCAGATTATTAGAATATTAACTAGGCAGTAGTCTGTCTAACATAAATGTCTTCTATTTGCAGAGCCAATGGAACAAAGCCACAAATGACTGCGTATGGCATTTTTTTCCATTTGAATGCTCTAATAGATAAAAGCTGCACTAATTAATCAAAAGAAATTGATATTGTCCTCTTATATACTAATACCTCATAGTGATCTTTATTAGTATGCATCTGTAATGTCTAAATCAGTTTGTAATACCTTATATTCACTACTTTGCTTGTGTCTCATAAACTCTTTAATAATCAAATACACCAAATAACATATATTCAAAAATTATTGTATAATTGCTGTAAAGTTTTTCACATACCATCTATTTTTCACTGCCCTGTGTGATTTATTGCTCTTTACAGAATCAGGACTCTGTGTGTGTGTATATATAAATATATCTATATGTTTGTGTGTGTGTGTCTGAATGGAAATAATTTAACATAAATAGACATTTCCTGTGCACTTCATTTGACTTCAGTTTGATTGTCAATACACTTTCATAGTTATAAAGGCTGTTTTTATATCAATATATTTGGTTTATGCTCATTTACCAATTTTCTTGTAGGGAACAAATGGCCACAGAAATGTCAGAAATATTGTCTAGGTAGGTGAGAAGGTATAACACCAGTGAATCAATCCTTTTATAAAAAGAAATCACACATGAAATGGGTTGAATTATTATGGAATTCAGAGTAATGGAATCTGTTTTTTTTTAAAGTGATAAGCAGATAAGTAAATTATTTATTTCACATAAATTTCCTTTTACCAACATCTTTTTTTCAGCAATTATTTATTTGCTATTTTAATTGATTGTATTGAAAATGAATATGAATATTTCATGTATCGTGTAATTTTGTTAATGTTTCTCCAGCTTTCTTCTCCTCTCGCTTTGTGATAACAGAGCACAAGGCTGCACATCTTTTAAAGGCACATTTCTACAGATGCAGCACAAAGTTAATGAAGTAATTTAATAGTAATGTAACTGTTGGTGCATTAATAAGAAAATATTCTAATTAGACTTCCCTTAAAATAAAAGCAGTCTTGAAAATTGCCATGGCAAGACCATATAAAAACCCTTTTAAGATATCCAAACAAAGTCCCCTTCTGAGATTTCTTGAATGGAAATGCAAGATTTTATGCACAATGCAGAAGGAAAGATAAATACAGGTTTTGGTCTGAATATGCTAGTTGGTAAAATACTAATTCTCTGTTCAAAGAAATGTTGTGATTGTCTTCCATATCAACAAGTAATGAGAAAGTGTTTTCTGCAACATGAGGGCAGAAATAACCTTTGACATTGATTTTTGTGAAGCTTACAGAAGAAGAAAAATTGTTTAGAGTTTTTGAAAGTGAATATGTTGTTTAACAAGTTACTAAGCTGTGTAAATATAGTCTGAAGATGATCAATCTCACATGTTTCATGGGTTTTCTAGTGGTAGCATGGATGATAGGAATGCAGCTGGTAACTACATCTTTTTCCTGCAGTGTTATTTTAAGAATAGGAATAAAACACATTGTGTGTAATTAAGATAGCATATGAATTTAAATGGCCATGTTGTATTGCATATATTAACATAGTTCCAATGGCAGTGGCCAATTTTTAATGTAAAAAAAAATGACAAAACTTTGGGGCAAAATCAGAGGCTCTGTGTTTTGGTTGAATTCAAAATGCAATACCTCTCAGTACGTGCTTGTTTAACTAAATTTGTCTTACTTTTCATACTCTGGAAACTTTTGATGTGAGAATGATCTTTTGTATTTTTAGTCTGGAAATACTGTTTATGATACATAACTCTCATATGGAGCAGTGAAGATTGAATGTCAAGTGTGATGTTCCTCTTAGTGCTGTACTGTTATGATTAAAGTCATGTAGAAAACAAGCAAGATCTTCAGCATGATCTTCAGAGTGCAGAGTAGTACCCTAATAGAAAGACTAAGCCATTCAATTGGATTGGCATTCTTAAAGATTACTAGTTTAACCAGAGAGGGTACAGCCTGATTCTGCTGTGCTAAATTAGGCAGCAAACTCTTAGAGTGGTGGGTAATGTTGCTAAATAAAGAAAATCCTTAGGATTTGTGAAATTAGGTTCAAGAAGGTTAGACACCAGGCAGTAGAAATTATTTATCAGGAATCCTTAATGTCCTACAGGTATGCCAATAATAACAAAATATTAAAGGATGTGTTTTGAAGGAGTTTGTCCAGTTATTTGTTTTACACTCATGAGGAGTTCTAAGTTGGAGTTAATTTTTGAACTTCTCACACTTAACTGGAAGCTGTGTGTGGACTCGGATTAATAGTATGTGTAGGCATTAAGCTGCTACTGCAACAGTAAGATTCTGTAGTTTTAATTATACTGGAGAGATGGTTCAGTTGTTATTAAGAAGAATGTTAGGTTTATGCAATGAAATTTAAATTGCATTTGTTATCTCTGCTTTCAAAACTGCTGTATCAGCATAAAGAAAAATTTCAGGTTATAATAGTTATTTATAACCTACTAATTAAAAAAGGAAAATAACATAAAACTTCACAATATCACATGAGACCTTTATGGAAAAATAATTGTTAAAATAATATTCACTGGATTATACCTATTAATAATGTGCCTGTCCCTCAAAGATATTACTGCACAAACAGAGGCTTTCCAAGGAAAAGGCCTGGTTTTTTTTCTTAGTGCATCAAGAAGTTCTTAGTCATAAGCAGACGCTGGTAAATCGTGTTGGTAAATCATGTGTCTGTTCTTGAATTCCTGAGTGTTTAAAAGGTGTACTGATCGTCACTGAATGTTGCAGTGTTTTGAACTTATTTTATAAGCAAATAATCCACGGAAAGTTTGCCATTCCTCAGGAGGGTTCTACCACTTACCCATACCATATTTCTTAGGGGAAAAATTAAATTCAGGCTTATCTTTATATCTTTATATCCATGTTCATTTTGTACATGGAAACCTTGTACATTTACTTAGAGATGATTGAGATTTTACTAATAATTTCTTACTTGCATTTGCTGTTGACTTACTTGTATATTACCTACACAGTGAAGACCTTTTGCCTTTGAAAGACATTGGGTTTCAATGAGTCTTTTTTTACTGGTCAGCCTTTTGTCTGAGTAGTCTTTTTTACCTTGGTATTTTTTTTATTATCAATGTCATCACCCCCAACCCCAGAATAAGTATTGCTGTTACTAGATAGCCAATATAGAATTAATTTGGTTTCTTCTCTTAAAGCTAGGTTTTTTCAAAGACAGAATATTTTTTCAAGCTTTGGAACAAGGATTTTGTCCTAGACCAATTTTAAATAGCAGAGGAGGTGTGTTTTCTTCCTTCTCTTTGTTCTACTTCAGAAATATTTTTCCTTGTCTGTTTTTTGAATGGAACTAAAAATGTCTACAGTCAGTCTTTGTTTTCTGCATCTTAGTTGTCACTAAGTAAAATGTACATCAGTGTGGGATGAGATACACAGAATATGTGTCTTTTCATACATGAACAGTATTAATGACAATTCCTTTTAATCTCTAGGAGGTCAATCAGATTATGATATGATTTTGTGCATAAAATATATCCTAATTTTCTTTTAATAATTTGAAAATCTTGAAAATATGGTATTTTGTCTTAGAATTCTACATGGTAATAACAATGGATACATCGTTGGTCATAGGATCTCTTCCTCTTCTTAAAACAATTTCTGTCTAATACTTGAAAAATTACATATATATTTTTAAAATAATTGTAGGGGTCCTGCAGTGCAAGCCACAAAAGCTGCTGCTGGTACTAAGAAGCATGATCTCAGTAAGTGGAAATATGCAGAGCTTCGTGATACAATCAACACATCCTGTGGTAAGTGGTTTTTTTTCTAAGAAAGAGTTCAAGTTGTAGTTATATGAAAAGTGTTACTTTCTTCCTATAACAAAGATTAAAAAGTTTATAGAAGTTTGAATGAAAAATTAATTTAAAAAAATATTTCTTACCCCCAAAAGAACAATACATGAAGCTATTTCCATATTAAGCAAACACAATTTCCATTGTTATGTCTTTCAGGGATTATATATTTATGATATTAAACGGCTTGGGTCATAAAATACATGTTATAGCTTCTTAATTAAGTTCACTCAGTTTGATGTACTTCCACAGCAGGAATAGTAGTTACTATACTGTACCTAGAATTTGCATGTTCTAAGAATTTTTTTGCTGTCACTAGATCATAAAGATCACGTAAAGTAGAATGTAAAAATATGTTCTGTCTTAGATATTCATATTATTCTTTAATTCTCAAAATGTGTAACTTCTTTTTGGAAGCCTACAGTGAGGCATTAATCACTTTGACCTCAATGCTGTGAAGACAGAAACAATAAGAATTATTCCTTTTTTAGATACTACTGTTTCTTCTGGCTTCTTGTTGAAAGCAGTTGGTTAATTTGTGATTCAAAATCACTCAGAATGTCTTCTTGAATGTAGAAAGTGGAATGTAACTCGTTCTCTTTTACTGTATTTGCATATGCAAGACTGGAGCAATGTTTTCAGCTGCATAGATGGTGCTGTAATATGTGGAGTTCACTCCTCGTGAAGCCAATTTGGATACTCTGAGATGACTAATGAAAAAGCCTTGTCATCATTCAGTCTCTTAGTATAATGAAATTCAGAAAAATTAAAATAGATAAATGAAAAAGAATGCAAATCTAAGCAGTCAAATTACTGTTTTTCTTTTTTTTTCAGTTGCAGAAATAATATTCAGCAGTGTAATTTAATCTTTTTATTATTTGTTTCTCTGTTGCTTGTATTGTGATATTGTCAACAGAAATATTTGTAGCATATTAGTGCTCCAAGTGTCCCAGTACGACAGCTACTTCGGGGGGGGGACTGCCTTTACTCGAAAGCAGAAAAGGATTCATCAAACTCTGAGGGACTTTCTGGGCCATAAAACACAGTCTGTGAGCTGCAGAGAATGAAGTTTATGTTACATTTTATCCTATTAGTGTAACAACTTGATCTCAAATCATATAACTTATCAATATAGAAAAGCATTTTTAATAAATAATTTTCCTGTCTTTACTCACTCATGCCTTCCCCTTCTCCTTTTTTTGGGATAGATATTGAACTCTTGGCAGCTTGCAGAGAAGAGTTCCACCGAAGGCTAAAGGTGTATCACGCTTGGAAGTCCAAGAATAAGAAACGCAATGCAGAAACAGAGCAACGTGCTCCCAAATCAGTCACAGACTATGGTGAGGAAAGATAATTTTCTATATATAATAATTTTGGTGATAATATTCTAAAGAAAACATTTCTGGAATAGATTTTGAATTTGCTAGGTTGAAGAACCTTGGAGTTTTTAGGAGTGTTTTGTGTTGATTTAAGGTAAATATTTTGAAAAGATTGAACGTAGCAAATTATTCACAGAAATTAAAACACTTCCAGTAGACCCAGCTACTTGTGCTGAATAGTTCTCTCTTGAAACCTTTTCTCAACATCCAGCTGACATCTATAGAAAGAGTTCTTGATCTACTGATGCAGGTGCTGGCATTTTTGTTAAATGTTCATTGCTGTGCTAACTTAATATTTCATAATACATAGCTATGTAGACATAGATGTAGATACTTTTAAAAGGTGCTAATAATTCTGTTGTTTACATCACTGCTTACATACATCATGTTAATCCTCTTTTAAAAAAATCTGTGAATGTTGATATTGCAATTTTGGCTCATGGGGTGACAAATTTTGTGTAGACCCAGTTTTCTGTTTAGACCCTCATTCTACTGATTTCACAGGCAGGTGTTTGTTGAGAACGCAGCACACTAATCAGAGTAGGTGACTTTCTTTTACATTCAGTAAAAAAGTGTGGGAGTTTAAGACAGCCAGACCTGAAAATTCTGTACCTGGTTTCTGGAGTAGTATTTACAAAGTGAACTGTTACTCTTTTCCCAACATCCCACCTCAATAGCCTGGTGATCATCTGTTATAAAAGGAATCTAAGAAATTTATAGAATCACTGTAAATGCATAGAATAATTTATTCAGATAATTCCTTTCATTATGTTTGATATTTGTTCATGGGACAGGCAAAGGAAAGGAAAGATGGGGAGAAGGTGCTCTCCCCAAAGTCACATGAGTCTGAGATTAAGGCATTGTCCTGGGACATGAAGAATAAACATCCCAGGGAATGCAGGTGCCCTAGGTAATCTCAGTCCATGTACAAAGGCACGTTCTTCCCCTTGATCCATTTACTTGAGTTATGCATTGCTTGAGCATTACCTGAGATTGAGATTTTCAGGGAACTTTAGTATGGATATATGACAGGCAAAATCTGGAGCCCTGGAGAAGATATTATCAAGGAATGGGTCCTTGTGTCTGAAAAGTGGTTTTTGGTGCTTAAGAAAGCTTATAACTGAAATGGCAGGAAAAGGCATTTGAAGCACCTCTGGAAAGCAGTAAATTGCTTTGAATTTGAGCTCACATGTTTTCTCTGGAGCTAAGTGGGTAAAATATTCATATACAACACGTATTGCTGATGGAAAGTATCAAAGAGCTGATGATCTTTGGATTTTTGCACAAAAAGATTATTCATGTTCTTATCACTTTTATTCAGACATTTGCTGCATTCTTCTCAATGTTTTTCATTGTATTTTTTTACCTTCATTGAAATATGGCATCATATTTCTGAAGAAGAGAACTTCACAGTTCAGAAGAAATTGGTAGTGACCTTTAGAGACTCTTAATGTTTATAATTCTTCATATTGCAAATAATTATACCACATGGGCATTTCACATATGTATATATTGTAGTGGTCTGAGTAGGTAGTAAAAGGAATTCTGATTTCTTAGGTATTCAAGGTAAAAGTCTTTCTGGTGTCAGTGGATGTGTGCTTCAAATGATGTAGTTTTTTCTTTCCATCTCTTCATTGATTTAATGTAATTTTACAGTATCCTTTAATTAAATTCATAGGTTCAGTAAAGAAGCTAAGCACTGGTGTGTATATTGTTGTTGGTATTACAGAGCTCTGGAAGTTTTTTCCTAGCAGAAATGTCAAAAAAGAAAAGTACTACATTAATTAACTAGCAGATTTGTCAGAGAAATCTGTGTTTAGCATGTATACCACTGAGGCTTTGTAACATGAATTGCAGATTATTAAAGTGATTAATTTTGTAGTTAAATCTTGATGAAAATAGAAGTAGAAAATGAGTAGAAATACTTAAAATCTGTGTTTATGTTGTAACTAGAATTTGTCTGTTATCAGCATTGGTGAAAAATGTTGAGGTAATGAAACCATAACTTATAAAAGATCAGCGCTTTCATGTTTTGTTCAACATGTAATATTTGTTCACAGATTTTGCACCATTTATGAGCAACTCAAGTAAGTGGGGAGACAGTTGTTCAAGCTAACTTTGAAGAATAGGAACAATTGAGAGCTCTATACTAACATTGATTGATCCAGTGTTTTGCTACACATGTACATAGAAGTTAATTGTAAATAAAATATTTCATAATATGACAGTTATTCATCTGATGGTAATTATACATTACTCTAGTAATTTACAAATGTGCTTGTCTTCATGAAATCCTACCCATTTGGGGAGTCATGGGAAGGAGAGTGAAATAACCTTCTTATGTAAATTATTATGTAAATTATGTATAATCTCCTATTTTTATCCACACCCCCCCCAATTAACATTCTTGTCCTAGCATTTTTTTTATTGTCTGCACATGGCTTTTTGTTGTAGCAAAACACTGGACTCAGCTTAATATAACAGCTATTTTCCTAGCAAACAAACTAACATTCAGGTGATGGTTTCTTCTGAATAAAGAGCCACAGTTGTATAGCACCAAGTAGAGGCTCCATTGGCTGCTTAGCATTTCTGTCCTCTAGATTTGCCCTTGGATTTAGATACTCTTGGGAGTAGAAATGAGCCTTAGCAATTACCATTGTAGTTCAAAAAGTATTTGTCAATACTAAAGCATTGATCTGCTGGGATAAATGTTCAGACAATTTGTAGAAAATTGAATTAGTGTTTTTATAAACTCCATCTCCCTGTAAGGTACGTATTTTATCAGAGTTGATGCATTCACCTGTTAAAATCTGGGATCTTTTTCTTCTGTGTTTACTTTTTATGCACACATAAGAAAAAAAGGAAATTTGATACGTATAATACATGGGATTTTTTTTAAGGTTCTGCTCTTCAGGTTTACAAAAATTATTTTTGCTTGAATCTAAGCAGAAGAAATTTCAAGGTGCAATTGCTAATCTGTATTCCTGTTCATGACTGTAAAAATATGTTATTAAAAGTAATTGTCATTTTTCATGTTATTAAGTATTAGCTCAGAAATTAGCTTTGTTACTCAATAGACATGGAAAAGTATGGAATTCACATTTAATCATTCCTTTTATGCTGAAAAATACAAACAGTTAATACTGATTTTCTTCTTTAGGAATGGTAAAGGTTCTTAAACAGGGTAACTGTAATGGTGCTGTAAACCACTAAAATGAGATCAGTAAGAAACTTTTACAGGGGCAGTTATTAAAGGAAAGGATCTCGCTTTTAAGAGCATTCAGTATTTAAAACTAATTATGATAGTGTATATGTAAGATTAAGAAGGTTGATCATTTGATGAATGAACATAGAGAGTATGTACTTTTATTTGAAAGCAAGTCTCTCTCCAGAGTTTGAAATAAGGAGAACTCAGAAAGTCCAAAAATGCATGTGTAAAATTTACCAAAAATATATATGAAACTCGAAAAAGTTTCATGTTACTTTCTCTTTTAGAAGTTCAGTCAGCTGATCTTAATGGTCTGAAATAAAGAATTCCTTGAAAGAAAAAAGCAGCCAGAAATTAGTTCTAATACCAGATTTTGACATACAGAAATCTAGGCAGAAAATTGTTTGGTGGCAGCTTTGTAGTAAGAAATATTTATTGTCAACATTTCTATTAACAAATTAGTACTTTCTAACAACGTTATACATCCTTTTGTGTTGACTGTCAAACATCAAGTGATGCTTTATATGTTTGTAACTGAAAATGCTTCTGTGCACTGTAATCTTTTTTTACAAAGAAATGGACTGAACTAAAGCAATTTCTGATATATGTTTCTGGTTGGTAAGAAATTTTGTATGGGAAATTTTACCTTAAATATTGATTTAAAGCAAACGATGTAATTTTGTTTACTTTGTTAATATGTTATTTTATTTACTTTGTTTTGTTTGAACATGCCATTGGGCAACATGTAAATACAGCAGTTAACATGAGCCTTTTCTGACCAGGTTTTTGCTGTTGCAATTAACAAAATGTACATTATATGAGATGGGAGTACTTTTAAAGTTTGCTGAGACTTCAGATGACCTTGAATTCAGAGAGAATCTCTTGGGTTTTGGGGGGACGTTTATTTTTTTCTTGTTTGTTTTGTTGTTTTGTTTGTTTGTTTTTAATGTGCTGACTAATAAAGCAAGTAGTATGGCCTTATTGTTTTCTAATTGCTTTATTCACTTATTTTTGGGTTGGTTTTTTTTTTGTATGATAGCACAACAAAACCCAGCAGCCCAGCTACCAGGCAGACAACAAGAGATTGAAATAAACCGGCAGCAGCGCTATTTCCGCATTCCCTTCATCCGCCCCGCGGACCAGTACAAAGACCCCCAGAACAAGAAGAAGGGCTGGTGGTATGCTCACTTCGATGGGCCCTGGATTGCTCGGCAAATGGAGCTGCACCCCGACAAGGCACCCATTCTGCTTGTAGCGGGTTGGTATTGAAAGCAAAATTGCAGCTTCAAAGAGGTTCAGGGTTGATAATGAACTTTAGAAAAAGAGTGTGTTTCTAAGTTTCCCAAGTTCTTTTTATTATTTTTTTTTCATCAGCAATTCTTATCTGGGCAGAATTGGAGGATTCGGGACTGCTGTTGATGGTGGCCAAATGTTTCAGAGTATCATTTGGACATGTAACTGATCCTGTGTTTTACTTGGACACATACTTCCATTTGGGAAGCCAGGGACAGAGTGAGAATCCAAATGTTTTACTATTACAAGGCCTCAGATTATTCATTGAACTGGAGACAGTGTGAAGATAAAAATCACAGTTTATCTGGGAAAGGTCTATTCTTATTATACTGCTTTTTAGTTAGCTATAAAGAATTACGAGCAGTGCAATTTGTGTATGTTACATTGTCTTTCCATAGCATGAGGCTAATAGCAAGCTGATGCTTTTACCCTACTTATGCTACTTTATGCTAGTATGGAAGATTAGCTTTTTAATGTTAAAAATTTAAAATAAATGTTGCAATGGATAGGTGGAGATTTATCTGGTAGTGAAATGTATCCTCCTTTTCTGGAGGGTAGTGAGCAGGGGAGAAAATACTGGAGAAATGCTGCTTACAGTTCTGTGTTTTGAGTTTTTTTATATAACTTAGAAACTGAGGAAAAGCCATAGCCAATTTGTTTCACTTCAGAATTATGCTTTACTAGCAACAAAATTTTGTTTTCTGCAAATTATTTAAAGTATAATTCCTTATACCAGCTGTTGCTGTTCAGTGCCAAAGCCCATAGCTAAAAGTAGCACTGCTGTCGTGAATACCTAATAAAAATAAGATTGCAATTTAGTTTGTGAGCTATGCATATCATTTCCTTGGATTGCCTATGTTGGTCCCATTTGGTAAACACTGTTTGTTTTGGATGGTAGGCTGACAGATTAGCTACTTGATCCAAAGTCTGATATTCTTAGTTACTTTGCTACATTTAACCTAAAGTAAATCAGTTCACTGTGAAGGGGCCTGGAACTGAAAGAATATGTAATCCGAATGCAGTTGCCATCCTATAATGGGTTTCAGAGGAATATATCAAAATGATGATCCTTCAGATTCTTTACTTCATTCCTTTTTGCTTGCTATTTAAGCACAACTTTGTCAATTGCAGCATCTGATACTAGTTTATTCTCATAATGTGTCAGTGTTCTCTGTGTAACAAAAAACAGGAAACTGAAAAATGCCTGTATCTAAGGACTTCTCATAAGCTCTGAAATCTACTAGCAAGCCAGATCTACAGAGAGGAAATGTAATTAACAAGGATCTAATCTTTATTGATGGGACCTTTGAATGATGTAAAAAATGTTTTCTTTTTCCCTTTACCATTTCAGGTAAGGATGATATGGATATGTGTGAGCTTAATCTTGAAGAGACTGGCTTAACCCGAAAGCGAGGTGCTGAAATTTTACCGAGACAGTTTGAAGAAATTTGGGAGCGCTGTGGAGGCATCCAGTATCTCCAAAACGCAATTGCAAGCAGACAAGCTCGCCCTACCTACGCCACGGCGATGCTGCAGAACCTGTTGAAATAACTGGGCATTGGGCACGGGAGCGTCTGAGACGAGAACCTTGCCCCTGATACAAAGGGAAGAGTTCCTCTGTGCTGCAGAGGGCCTAAACGTTCTATAATCAGAGTAGAGATGTTTAATATAAAGTGAACAGATTTTATTAATCATGTGGTTTGTTAATTTGTACTTCATGATGTTTAATTTGTGTAGTGAACTTTAACTAGGTATGAGGACCCTGAAGAAACTTCAGTCAGTGTAGTTTGCTGCATTTTGTTTATATGTTGCATTTTCTTTAACAGTTTCTGGTATAACTTAACACTTTTAAGAAATCTGTCTGTACTTGGATACATATTGCAAAGAGCTGCACTGCAACCACCTTTTTATAAGATTCCTTCTTTAAAACACTGAGTAGTTGGCTTCAAGTGGTGGCCTAGTAAGGAGAATATGCTATTTCTAATAACTGGAATTGTGAGGCCTTAGCTTTGACTTCTGTTACGGAGAAGTTGGAGTATACTTTTATATAATCTGAGACATTTTATGTCCTGATTAGCAAACTGGTTACTGTCTGTATTTAATGATTTTTGTTTTTCCAGAACCTGATGAGAAATCCTCCTAAACTTGAGACCTAGAAACTCCTGTTTAATGCATTCTCTGTCTTGGTTTAAGAGAAACGGTTTTCTGTACATTCCAAAAAAAGCATTCATATACGTTAAAATAGTGTAATATTGGAGGTCCTCAAAGAATGTACTGCTCTTTAGGGCTTATACCACTTCTCTTGTAGATTTTTTTTTTTTCTCTCTCTCTTTTTAGTACAAATCTGCTTTATACTTTTTTTTTTCTGACCACATTTCTGTTAGCAATACTTGGACAGTTTGTTTAGCCAGGTAGTGTAATTTCAATATATTACACAAAATTGTCCAAGCCTTGTATCTGAAGATATATAAGATTAGGGATAGTATTAAGGGAAGTATGTTCAGCTTTTTGCTGGCAGTATAACTTAACTGATTATTGAGGCCTGAGCCTCAGAAATCCTCTTTAACTGTAATAAGATACACAAAGTCTGTACCTTTTGTTAGACTGTGTAAAAAATTGGTCCAATAACATAATGCCTTGTAATACTATGTGCTGATGCAGTAGCTACAGTTTTTAGTGTACTGGAATATCGTAATGATTTGGATGCTGAGCTGTATATTAATCTCTGTCAAGTGTCATAGCTTGTAATAGTTCCCTTATTAAGCAGTTTGTTTGGGGAGTTTTTGTGGGTGGGAATCATTCATTTCATACGGTTTTAAGACACATCTCTTTCACTTATTTGAAGATTGCTTTACCTTGCTGGCCATTATTTCAAGAAATTAAACATGATCATTTGTTATCTCTCTGATAGAAATTCAAAATATAAGTAGCTTGATGTCCAATTACATAGCCTGACTTAAAAATACCCTTTTTAATTGACAATTTGCTTATAGTATAAAATACTGGAAACATTAGTTTTTAAATACATAAATATACTTAATTTTCAAGAGGGGTGGTTCTGTAGTACAGAGAAAGCTCCTTGCTGACCTTAGATTGTGGTTGCGTGCCACAGTCTGATTGCTGTTATAAATGCACTCCTTACGGGAATAATGTGGAGATACTCAAGTGATATTTAACTCTCTACATACCCACTGCATCAAGGAATCTCAGCTTCTACTGCAGACCCACTCTACTTCCTGGTCATGTGATTGCAAATGAGGAAATTGTTTTCATTTTACCCAAATTCTTCACTGAAACAGTCCTTTTTGGCTGGAAGATGAAAGGAGAAGTGCATCAGACTGTTTGTTGGAAAGTCGTATGCAAACCTGTACAGTTTTGCATGAGTTTAAAGGTGCAGCTTATGAAATTTAGATTACTTTTTTAATATGTTACTGCATTGGAACCAAAAGGTGACAATTTCCAGTTCCTGGACACTTAGCACTGCAAGAAGCTGTGCTCGCTCAGGTGATCCAAGGAAGAAAAATCACTGACCTGACCTGTTTGTTTCTGTCGGGGTTTAGCTGCTTGGCTTGACACATTCCATCTCAGTGTTTATGTCTTTACAAATCCATGGATCTTAGGAGACTGAATACAGTAAGCAAAGAACCTCAAATGCTTACTTGTGCGTGTAGGTATGCACACATATATGTACTTAAATATTTTAGTATATATGTGTGTAAACATACCTGTAGAGAACTTTAAATGAAATTAACTGAATTTTTCCACTCTGTTCCTTTAGTTATGTCAGGATTTCCTTGACTGGCATTGGAAAGAAAATTTATTCTTCAGAATGGAGTGTAATGACTAAATGACTAATAAATATGAGCTATCATGAAAATAAAATGGACTTGGAAATATTGGAAGAAGGTCTGGTGGCTGGACATCTCAAATGAGATGTTTCCACCTCTCAGCATTGCTCCAGAAGTATGCCTGAGGGAAGCAGATGGATTCCAGAAATCAGGGTATTCTAGTTTGCACAGTAGCAGGCTGCTTTTTTTTCCAGCTTCTTTTTCACTGCACGAAAAGCAGCTTCTGCTCTTAGTTTTACTTAACTTTTTGTGAAACAAATTAATTTTCAGTTTGTTTCAGATTAGTTTATTTTTTTTTACGTCTGACAATATTTAACTGCTTACCAATTATTTCCATGGTCCCTTGTACTGTGTCAGGTAATTATAGTTGGTTGATTTGAAGAGGAAATATAAAAGGAGGGGAAAGGGTTGATCTTTAGGATAAGCTGATGCCCTTCTGGTCTACAATTATAGAGAAAATTATAATCAGGCTTTTAAAGCGCAGTGGCTTGGTTCTCTGTGTGTTTCATTAAAAAAAAATAAATTCTTCCTACCTGTCAGTGAAGCTGTTCTTTATAGTTGAAATCTGCCTAAAATGCTCCACAAAACAAAGGAGAGGAAGAGAATCACCACACTAAGCTGCATTCCTGAGTAAGTGACCCAGGAATAGGCATTTTCTTGAGAATGCTACTCTGAAGATCCTAAGGTCATTCAGTACTTGTCTTTTATCCCCTGATAAGTTTGTGTTTTTCTTTACCTTGTTGAATCCTCTGGGTTTTCTCAAAAATCTTTTAGTATTTAAATGACCTCCTAATACTGTACTGAAAATCAAAAATTAAAAATAAACACATTCCATGTTGAAATCTTACTTGTATCTGCTTACTGTTTTGTCTTTGAAGAGTTGAAGCATAAGGGTTAATTAAGTTATGAGAAAGTACCAGCAAAGGAATATTTTTATCTGTCTGCTGCTTCTTCATGAAATATTTTTGGTCCTTAAATCTACTCTTTAAAGCTTTATTCTAACAAAGATTTTGTCTTTACTTTCTAAGGTAAGTGTTCCTCCAAAATAATATTCTGATATTAGAAAATTCTGATTTTCTTATCTTAAATCTCATACTTCATTTCTCAGTAGTTACTGAAACAAGTAACTTTTTAACTTTTATTACTTTTAAAAAAACATTTATTGTTATTAATTCCAATATGTCTGTCATTTGCTATGCTGTGTACTCTGCATCCTATTAATTTTAGATTGTGTCAGTCAGTGACTGGTGACACCAACTCTGCTGCTTTGAATGTGTGTGCTGTGGGGGAAGCTTTATGTTTGGGTTGGAGATGTGGTATTGCTTTTGTGGGGTTTTGTTTGTTTGTGTGCCCTCTTAGAGTCTTAGGGAACTTTCTCATCCTAAGGGCCAAATCAGAGTAGAATTTTTTTAATTTAAAAAGATTCAAGTAACTCATACTTTATCTAGGAAATGTAATTTTGTTTCAGTTTCCTTATGGCTTTTATCTCCAACTGCAACTTTACATCAGTTTTAAAGTAACGTGATGAGTTCTGTTGTAAGATTATGTACCACTTCAATTCCTTGTGAAATTTTCAAGTAAATAATTTTATTATGTCTTATTGAAATACAAAAGGTTTACGTCCAGCAAATATATTTGGTAATTAATAGTTGAGAGTGATAAATACAATCATGAATAATCATTATTAAAATACACATTTTAAAATTACTTATTTTTTAATCTTGCTAATGATAACTAGAAGAAGTTGAAATACACTAAACACATACAAAAATACATTTGTAATGGAAAAAAATGGAATGCTATCAGCATTCTTAATGCATTCTTAGCTTACATGAGCAATAGTGAAAAGCTAGCATTTGTAGGCAAGTATGACTTCCAGTGCCCTGCAAAAAGTACTTTTAAAGTAATTTTATTCTGAAATGTTACTGTGTAAAACCACATCTTAGATTTCTTCTTTATTTGTCTTTCCTACTTAAATAAAGTAAGTAAAAACACTATTTCAGCTGTAGAAACTCAACCTTGTATTCTTGGTGCATTGCCTTCATTCGCACACATTCACCAGTTCCGGTGGTTTTGCAGGCAAATCCATGCAGTTGTTTGGAATTTGTAAACAGTTCTTTTGAGCAGAGTTGGGAAGGTAAACTAAGCTCAGTCTTTGCTGTGGTAACTGCACGGTACGAAGTAAGAATTGTCACTAAAACCAGCTGCTGTCCTGGATGCATGAAAGTTTCACACCTGGATGAGGGGTTGTCATCCAGGATAGTCATGAACTTTGTAGTAGCTCATTTTGAGCTGTAAGCACGACTTCTGATGTGCACCAAGCAGCAAATAAGTGCCTGAATACAACACTGGTGCAGAATATAAATAGAGATATATACTCAAGAAAAAGATACTCAAGGTAAAATAATGCTTGTACTTGAATCAGGATTGTGGATTCATAGTGCATAAATTAATAAGCCTACAAAATACTTAATGGCCACCCGTTGTCTGCTTGGATTTCTCCTACAAAATCTAACAGTAACCCCTCAGAATTATTTGTGTGGATACCGAGTTTAAAGTGTAGGTGCTCATGTGCAATTCTAATCTACTCACTACGAGAAGGGTGCTTGTGAATATAGATCTCATGTTCTGAAAAGATGAAACTCTACATATTGTACCTCAGCAAAAAGTTTGAAGTCTTTGAACCCGATAGTTTCACTGTCACCAGAAATTAAACAGTTAAGTAAATATGTACATATATAAAAATGATGCATTTATTAACAGAAAAATAGGAATCTGATGTTCATAGAAACCCTTGAAAAATTAAATCCAACTTCCGTGTGATTTGCAATGCGAGTGTTCAGGGAGGGAATGAAGAAGTTACCAAATGTTTTTAATGTGACCTTTGGTCAATGACAGCTCTTATTTCCATTCACCATTTGCATCAGTGTATGTAAGGAAGGTTAATAAAGGGGTGTAGAAATGCACTGAAGTTCCATTGACATTTTTACCAGAACAATTGCAACATATGATATTGAAAAATGTCACATCTCAGCAAAATCTGTTTCTAGCTCTCAGCTCTTAAATAAAACACTTAAGATGTGTAAGCACCAGAAGCTTAATACATGCATCTTAATAGTGGGGACTTCCTACCAGGCATTTTAGACATGCTCAAAAGCTGCTCAACTTCGCCATTTGCTTTCCTTCAGTAGAACTATTTTTTAATAATGTGCACTGATTTTAGAGCCAAAATATTGTATCTTTAAGAGTCCTTGATTTCTTTTTTTCATACTCATCCTCAAGTCCAATCTTGAATAATGCAGACCTTCTTTCTTGAATACCTATAAGACCTGTAAGACATTTGAAAAGTATTATTGAATTTGAAAATGTACTATTTCTCTAATGGCAAATAGGCAAGGCCACAAAGATAATTGTAGTTCATTGTAAGAATCGAGCTTTGGGAAGAGAAGGCTTCAGGGGGACCTTTGGTAGCCTTTCAGTACCTAAAGGGGGCCCAAGAAGGAGGGAGAGAGACTTTTTGCAAGGGCAGGGAGTGATACGGCTAGAGGGAATGGCTTTAAACTGAAAGAGATTTAGATTAGATGTGAGGAAGAAATTCTTAACTGAGAGGGTGGTGAGGCATTGGAAGAGATTGCCCCAAGAAGTTGTGGATGTAGCATCCCTGAATATGTTAAATATTGTTAGTTTTTGAATGACTAATTAGGTAAAACTCCATCCAATCAAAACCTGCTCTGATAACTAAGTTTTGTAGTAATTTTCCACGCAGTGATTCTATAACTAAACTGGAGACTCTTTTTTCATATTTGAGAAGGGTTTGAAGGTTATTTTAGCTTCTACTGGAACTTTTTTGCCTATTTTCATATATGCCTTTATAAATACAGAGCTATACTAGATAATGCATCCTAAAAAGCTGTCACTGCTGTCATTACATATTGCAAACCAGAATTTAAATACTGAATTCTCAATTTGGCCTGTGAACCATAGAGAGCCACATCCATCTGAAAATTCAGTTCAAGTGGCATATTATAAAAATTTTTGCCCTGAATGAGTTTTCTAGATTGTGAAATTAAAGTGCTCCTCTTATTTTCAGCTAATGAAAGCTGTTCTATTTTAATTTTCTTCTGCCATTAACTTTTTTCAAATCATTAAAAACATGTTGAATCTAAGGGTGATGCCAACATTCACTGTGAATTTAAGTAACAGTGAAAAATAGCCACCTAATTTTTTTAAGCGCATTTCAATTTTGTGGTTGCGGGATTTTTCACTACTTGAGCTTTTTCAATGTACTTTTGACAATTCAGATATGGTCTAGATGACACAGACCTGGTTTTCTTTCACAGATGTGCCATTTTATTACTTTAATAAAATATTTCATACTTTTCTATGTAGTTTAAAGTAGTTTGGCTATTACAAACGTTTATTGGTCTACAGTTGCCCACAGGCACATTTCTTTTAAGGTGCGTATAAAATACTAATTGCAAACATCTGTGCTCATGCTTTTATACAAGCAGTGGAGCAAGTTCATTCTTGAGCTTTTCCACACTGCTACTCCCACCTGTTTTGTCCTTCTCTATCTTTGCATTCCAGTCCTCCTATTTTCGGCTCAGTCTGTAACTGTCCACAGTACTTGAAGAGACCACACCTGAGTATGATGACCAGTGACAATAAATCTTTCTATATGGTATCTTTGCTTTTTCCTTTATTTACATAGGAATAAACATGTAAGGAGCCCAAGATTCATGTAGTTGGTGTCCAGTTTTCCATAATGTCCAGCTAGTGCCAAGGGCACTCCTGTGCTGATATTCCCCACAATAACATTGGGTGCTGACAGCTATAGCAAAACCTTTTTGTTCCTAGCTGGGCTGTAATTCAGAAAAATTAAAATGGCAAAGTAAAAACTTTTTCTTGTACCTATCAAGAGGACATATTCAGATGTATCACAAACAATCTGCCAGTTTTAGAGGAAATTTTGACTCAGCTTTTCTCCTTTCTGTCCTTTTCTTTCCCCCCACAAAGATACAAGGGGTTTCAAGTTGCAAAACTTGAACTAATACTTGAGATACCAGCAGTATTCTGCTCAAATTAGAATTCCTACTTGTCAAACTCTATGTAGCTTAACCAGACTGAGATCTTAGGTGATCTAGTACTGCTATTTAAACCTCTCCTTTGGATTGCATTTTGTGTTAATTTATAATTTCAGGTATTTCTTCTTCCTTCACATGTTCTAGTGACTGCCACATTAGCACATGGTTATACAAAATAGAACATTGTTACATAAAAAATTTAAGAAAATGGAGTTGTCATACCAAGCATCCAAAAAATCGGAGCTTTACTTTGTATGGAATTACTACAAAGAGGCTCCCAGGTAACATTGATAATGGGACACAACAGATTTTAAAGGTTCTTGAAAATAGTCACACAAACCTTGGTTTTGTCTGGCTGGTGCTGGAAATGAAGAATCCCAGAGACTAACTTGTCAGTCTTGGTTTTGTAAACTCATCTGGGGACCTACAAGAGTGAAAAAACCAAACCATTAATTATTTCTCTAAATGACTAGAAGCACTCAGATCGGATAGACTGCCAGAGCCATGCAAGAGAGCTGTAAGAAAAGCACTTCTACAGTCCTGTTATGAAACCTACACTGCAGTAAATCTAAAAAGCAATGAATGCGTTAGTATTTTCAGTTCTGAAATTGCCAAACAAGAGAGTAACTTCAAGTTTGATTTAGTTGTGGAGTTAGTACATGAAGGTGGACCTGTTATTTCAGATGGGGCTGTTTGTTGAGGGATGAGAAGGGGATTTCCATGCAGTTTACCTCCAGGCTGAATTGTGTTTTCAAGTTCATGTAATGCTTCGTGATCAAGGATCTCTGAGGAACTGAGACAAGCACTTACACTGCAAGCCGTGTGGCAAAAGCTAGATAGGGATTCATCATGTTCAAAAGCAGGATTAATCCTTACAGCATTTTCTGGATTGCAGCTGCTGAGAGTAGGACTTCTACAATGCAGAACATTTTTGTTTAAGTAAGATTTTAAATTGCAAAAGAAACAAAAGGAATATTTTGAAATGTGAAGGAAAAGATTGTGAGCAGCTTACTGCAAATTAGAGTTTCTTTTGCATTTTCTTCTTATCTTAATAATTAAAATGATGAAAAGAAAACCAAGGCTTCCTAAGCCAAGAATGAGAGGTTTAAAAGTGAAGGGTTGTGTGGGCTCTGGACCAAATTTTGCACAGCGCTGTCCTTGGTAGAGCTGGTGTCTACGTACAGGGCATCTAAAATAAGGAAAGGAAGAGAAAAAAATGTACAAAACTTCAAGACTAAAATGACTTAGTATCTTAAACAAAATGAATGGATAATCTGCAATGTAATATGATCTCATTATTTCCACTACAAATAATTATGTGTTTGCATGAAAATAATGTGATTGATGATAGGGAAAGATAATATTTTTATATTAGTGAGAGTGAGTTTTAAATAAAAGAACACTGATATATTCCTTGCTGACCTACAAATTTTTAGGAGATAATGCATTTTAAATATCTCTGACAAATTTCTAACCCCACAGGTAACATTTGTGATTTAGAACCTTAGAAGTTCATGTGTGTTTTAAGGTAATGTCTGAACACACCTTTGAAGCCTATATTCTATTTACTGGTGATTTCACTCAGGGGAGCAAGGCCTGAAATAAGAGTTCTACTACAAATAGCGGGACTCTACTCCTCTTCTAACACAAGAGCAAAGTGAATTTACATGGAACACAAGTGCAAATAGTAGGCCAGAATTTTCTCTCTGACTACAAGTTTGCACAAGCTGTCAGACCCCTTGCTACCTTAGCAAAATTTTGAAGAGGACCTTTCTAGGTCACAGGCAGATTTCTAGTAATAAATGCTGCAGCTGCTCTACTGTGACTCTGAAAGTCAGAAATTTGGCAGTAACTGTAGTGAATTCAATGTAATTTCTGTTTTGTCCATTGAAGAGAATTAATTTTGGTAGTTGGGTTTTTACAGTGAATAATTTCTCCTTATATTGAAATTTGAATAATTTCTTCTGAATAATATATTAAAAAAGTGGTCTTATTTTTTGATGTTAATCCTAAGTAATGTAAAAGGTGTATCATTAATCTAGTCAAACTACTAAGAGAGAATAAACAAATGCAAGAATTGTAACTTGATTCTTGCTTGTGTACATGGCTGGTCAGCTACTGTGTCCCAGTCTAGTATAGAGTTTCACATAATGCTCTGAATTATCTAGCATACAATGAGAAGTAACTTGATAGTTTGTAAAACAGAGTTAATAGGTTCAAGTACTGGGTAGTTCTCAGTATTGACTTAAGATCATTCCATTTAAAAACCCTTAAGGAATGTATTTGCAGTAAGGAAGAGCTGCTAATCTTCAAGTCTTTCCCAGAAACCCCTGAAAGCAGCTTCAGCCTTCATGTGCTTTATTGGGTGGTCTGGGATCACAGTCTATATTAATAAAGATTTTCTTTTTAAACAACTTAGAAAAATGTAATTTCTTAAAATGCTACCATGCAATCAGTAGCAAAGCTGTGAATGTGTTATTTCATTTTTCCAAAATGTGTTTGGAAATCTGAAAGGAATGCATGCCTTTGCGTGTGTCATCTCTGCCAATGATGCTGAATTTCTAATAAATTTCTGAAGCATCTTTAAAAAGAACTAGATCATAATGTTCTGTGTATGCTAACATGCAGAAATGGGTTTATCCATGGTGAAACTATTTATACTTCAGAAGGGTGTTTGCAGTGTGACTTACAGCATCTGATTGCGGAGCTTTTGGCTTATTAGTGTAGTTTATGGGGCTGTTAACAGAATCCATCAATCCATTTACCTGCAGACAGCTCCTCTTCCTGGAACCAGCTCACATTTCCCACCGTTGATGCAGAGATGGGGCTCCAGCTCGCACAGGCTCCGGCAGGGCAATCCATCCTGGCTGGCATAGCCGGGCTTGCACAGGCAGTCCGCCTCTTTTGTCCACTCGTTCATTACGCACTCCGAGAACTTGTCACATGCCATGAATTTGCAGGGGTCTGCCTGATCAGCTGTAAAGCACGGAGAAATCATTAACTGGAGCATTACCCCAAAAGGCCCTGGCAGGGCTTGTGGCAGCCAGAGAAAGGAGCTCATGTTTGCTGGCCTGCCCCTTGGACATGCTAATAGGAGCAGCCTGAAAGGACACACAGTCTTCTTCCTGTACAGAACACAGCAAGTCCATGTTGACATCTGCACTGATGTAACCATCGCTGCTGAGCAGTTTGTTTTCATCTCACTGACAAAGATTTTTCACATTCGGATGTTTTTATCATTTTTGCTGTGAGTGCTACCATCATATTCATGGATCCTGTGCTACAGCCTTACTTGTGAGAAATAATTTCAAGTGTAATGGTCTTAAACACGTAATTTAGGACATGACAGAGGAATGGAAATAGATTATTGAATATTGCACAATACTAAGACCTGCAATGTAGAAATACTGTCATATTCCAAAGAAAATATATGCTTACAGGCTTTGTAGTGTTGGATTTTTCTGGTGTGTGTGGTTATTTTTTTGCTTGTTCGGGGTTTTTTGGGGTTTTACGTTTTTGTTTGGTTTTGGTTTTTTTTTTTGTTTTTTTTTTGTTTTTTTGTTTTTTTGTTTTTTTTTTTTTGGTTTAAGTTTTATTGCTTTGTGGTATGTTAACATTAGAAAGGCTTGCTTGGAAAGCAAAAAACATAGGGGTTTTTTTTTGTTTTGTTTTTTAAATATTAGTGAGGGATGCCTCTGTGAGATTAGGGGAAAAGGACCCTGCTGATGTTCATGGGAAGGCCCAAATCAGAGACAGCTGTTACACAAGTTCATGTAGCCCTTTATAATTATGTAGTTTAAAAGGAAGATTTGTACTGGATGTTGCAGCTTCTAACTGGGCAGAGAGTTTTCTTCTGCAGCCATTTATGCTCTATATACCAGATAGTAACACTAATTCAAATAAAAAATGAGGACTGCATTTTTTATAGGACTACTGGAAAGATCAGACGCACACTGGGATATGCTTCAGTAGTAGAAATTAATCTATCAGAGCTGTTCACTTATAATCCCTCGATAATTTTATGTTTTTTTCCTAGTTTGAATTTTTGACTAGTGGGTTTTAGCGTGTACAATTTCCCGTTGCTATAAGCAATGTGCATGTTGGTTTGGAGTGTCCTTTGCTCCTGGGCTGTGAGTGTGTGCACATGTAAACTCCAAGTCGAGCTTGGCTAGAACATTTGGCTGGGCTGAGTTTTTGTGATAAGATTTCATCTTCCTTAACACATACATGCATACTTTGTTATATTTTCTGTTTTCACTTCATTTAGATTAATGAAATATTTCGTGCAGGTATTTTAAAAAGTCCTTCTTTTTGGTATTATTTATGATCAGTGCAGTCAGCCCTTTGCAGCTGCTGACTCTTGATACAGATTTTGGACTGTCAGTTCCCATCCATGTTTCACTTTGGTAGAACATCGTTACCACTAGATGGCTCTCAGTTTCACAATAAAGAGCTTATATTATTTTAACTTGCTACATAAGTTGGGGCTGACTTTTTTGTTTGTCTTCTGAAATGAAAACGCATCAGGCTTTGAAACATCTGTACTGGAATATACTGGCTTTGGAAACACAATTTCTTCTATTTTGACTCTATACTACTGCTTGTGAGCCTGGCAAAACCAGCTCTCTCCACAAACTCTCTGTAATAAACTCTGTTTTCTTGACCAAATGTTGAAATACCACATTAGTAAAGCATATTAGATGAAGACGAAAGATTTTTAAGTTTTTCTGAATTTTCATTTTAGGATCTTGCTTATTTTTTTATTTAATGAAAATTTGTTACTAAAGCAGGGAACATATGGCAGCCCAAACTTCACTCTTTACATAATGAACTAATGTAATACTTTATTCATCAAGCATCAGTTTATCACGGCAGTATTTGAAGGGTAGAATACTGTGATTCTGTTAACTTTCTTTACTACAAGCTACCTATGCTTTTAGTGACCACAAAGACATATGTAAAATGAAAACTGGTTAGAAAATGCCTGTCTGAATTGTAAATGGATTTTTGTTCCAGAACTGTCATAGATCTGTACATAAAAAGACAGCTTAACCAAAACTCCTAAAGGCATCTGCATACCTTTGCTATTGTTCTTCTCCATGACAATTAAATTAAATTCATGCCTGAAATAATTACCAGAGCCTGAAAATAGATTCGGGCTTCAATTTTATAAAACAGTGTGGTTTTTGAAAACTCTAAGCTTTTGGCTTAAGAATACTCTCCAGATATGTAGTTACTGAATTTCTACTGTTTAACAAAGACTACAAACTTATTTGAAAGATATAAATCTAGAGGGATTCTGTAATTGCAAATCTATGGAGTACTACACGAAGTCATGCTCCAGTTAGTGAGTATCTGTAGAATCCAATTATTCCTAAATATTATCTCCTTTTGTTTTGAATGCTGTATCCCTTTTAAAAAAAAGATTTAATGATGCTCTAAACCATGGTTTGCTTACAACATTGCAATAATCATCAGAAATTATGTTCCCTTGCTCCAGTGCAAGGCTTGCATGTCACACCTGAAAACTGCACGAGCATTTCTTACACCTGTCTTCACCCAGCACTTACTCTAGAGATCACTCTATTTGTCTCTGAAAAGCAGCTGATGAACGTGAACAGCCCAACAGCTCCACCCAGGTTTTCATTACAGTATGAAAATACATCTGCAGAGAATTTGCAACATCTTTTTTTGTCTTATTACCCCCTGTCTCTGGGAGGCTATTGCTAATGTGGTTATTTCCAAGATAGTCATACTTCTAAGGCTGCAACAGTCTGAAAAAAGATTGTCTGCTTAGTTTTGCTTTTGCACATACATTAGTAATGCAATCTTACCTGGTTCAATATCCAAGGAATAGCTGTCAATCTCCAGATTGAGGTGCTGGGCTGCAGCATCACAGAAATCTTCCAAAACACAGTGAACTGCTTCTGTGATATTGTATGGCACTGTCTTGGCAAACTTCATTTTGCTGTTCACAATCACACTTCCGTTCCTGAAGTTGAGAATTTCCAAGTGCTTAAAACCTGTAAGGTTGGACTGAAGGTATGGAAGTAGCTGCAAAACAGAGATTTGCCTTTATTTTAACTTACTATCAGTGTCTACCTGCTATTAATTTCTCTTATAGTAATTTTCGTTATCAAGTGCACACATCACAGATTTATTTCCCTGTTTAATAGAATTGTTAAGCTTCACCAACAAATTAACTTTTCTGTTTAGCAGTATCTTCTTCTGGATTTCTGCTCTTTTCTCAATAATGTATTGAGATGGATGGGCAGCAATTTCCCCTGTAATGAAAGGCATAGCAGCTGGAGAGTTTATTCATCTGGAAGAGAAAAAAATTACCTCACTCAAAAGCCAACTTTAATTATTTTCAAACATTCAATCTAGGCAGGTTAGGGCATAGTATAATAGAAATGTTACTGAGCTGACCTGTGCCCTATTGTACCAACAGAGAAAATCCATATCTAATCACAGTCTCTGCTATGATATATTTTTAAAAGCCTATTTTAAAATGCAGCTAGCAGACACATGCCTCAGATATAATCAGCACTGCAATACTGTTGACGTGGATCTAAGAAAAAGCCAAATAAATTCTAGGCATATATCTGGGTTCTCTTGATCAAGTAAAATCTTTCATCACTGACTTCATGAACTCTGTCTTCATACTCTAAGAGCATCCTAGGCTTATGGATCCTTTAAACTACAGCTTATCAGACTGAACTGTAGTTGGATTTAGTATTGTTAAAATACTGTGCACTTCAGTGTATTCCTTTAAACTGCACCCAACTTCCACATGAGTTATTCAAGTTGATTTTCACCCACCAATTGCATGAACTGCTGTTCCAGTGCTTTGTATTCTGTCGAGCTCCTGTTGAAGAGGTCATCGGAGAAATGCATGTTGGTGACCCTCAGGCTGAAGAACACCACGAGCTCTTTGCCTTTGGCTGCAGTTGTCATGGAGCTGGTAGTGACATACTTGAGCACAGGTGCTGGGGTGGTTTCTGCAGGCTCAGTGGTCAGCACTGGGATGTAAGCACTGCCCTGCTCCCCTTCGTCCAGCGCCGCCGTGCTCATGGTGCCCATGTGGTCCAGCTCGGCAGCGATGTCCTGCACTCCCATCCCGGTGCCATCCACGGCAGCGCCCTCAGGGGCTGCTGCTGAGGAATCTGGTGACTCAAGGGACTGCTCAATGATCTCGGAGGGGCTGTAGGAGGGGCTGGTGGCTGCAGGCAGCGGTGCTATTGATGGCAGCACATCTGTAATGACAGCTCCAGGCTGCACGGTGGAGACGTCGCTTGGACCAGTAAAGAAAGGCAACCTGTCATAAATGCTGGCTGTAACAAAAATGTCATCGCCTGATGATTCCAGTTCTTCCATGATCTTAACTGCTGCAGGAAAACAGAATAAAACCAAATTAGCTCTGTTGAAAACCAATCATAAAAAGCATCGAGCATGGAAAAAAACATGTATACAGTATTTCCACTGAAACATTATTAACATAAAGTTTAACAGTATCTAAATATGAAAATGTTAACGCCATCACCAAGAAGGACTATTGGAATAAAATACCTCATATACATTTGAGTGATGGGATTTCTACAGGTTCTATGTTTAATAGTTATGCTTGGCAAGTATTTTCTGAGCCTCTGAAGTACATTCTTGTTCTGAAGGTACATAATCACACTGTCAGTTTATATTGTCTGAAAGGGGAGATTGGAGCTTTCAGCTCTCTGCTTGGAACACTTGTATGCCAGAGCCATTCTGCTTCCCTCTGTGAAAAGTTAAAGCTATTATTTGCCAGTAATCATAAAATACAATTACAAAAAACAATACAGCCCCTCCAGATGCAAACTGCGTCAATTTACCCAGACAACAACAGCAATGAAAAAAATATTCAAGCCTTAAGAAGCCATCTACTGCACCTGAAGCAGAACTTTTATGATATTCCCATTGGGGCTTGGCATGGATCTAGGATATGTGATAACTGTAGCTGAAATCCAAATCTAAAGTGTCAGGAGTGCGAATCTGAATTCAGCCTGCAGCTACCTGGCCACAATGACTTCACAATAAATGATGGTCCCCACCAACAGCCACCTGCCCAAACTGGTGACTTTGTCCTTTTCCACTGATATTCCATTCTTCACGTGGAACTTTTAGCAGCCCCCTTCAGGCATAATCACTTATCGGCAGTAAGGAAAGAAGATTTTCTCCCATTGATGAACTCTTCCTTTACCTACATGCTAATTTCCTCCCAGTGGCCAAAGAAAATATGAAAGAAGAGCAAAGTTTTGCATTGGGAATATCCTTGACTGAATGAGGTGGCAATTGTCCTGCCATCTCGTTTCATTAAAAGCTTCAGATGCTCTTCTCTTGCCGTGTCCTCATGTTTCTTGTGTGATTAAGGATATGGACAGATTAAAAAAGCAAAGCCTAGTGATGTTCTCTGTTTACAAAGCTCTTGCTATTACTTGTTATGCTGATAAGGAGTGAGAGTCACTTATCAGTTAGGAGAACTCGGAACAGCTTTGCTAGCATTAGAGCTGGAGGCATTAATGCAGGATGATCTACTGATGGGATGAGCCTGCAGCTCCACAGACATCTCTCTCAGCACGAGAGCACATGCTCGGGCATACAATTGTGGTGACACTTGTTAGGCAGGTTATATTTTAGAAAGATAACTACAGAAGAAAGATGTACTGAAGTGGTTTTGAAATTTGAAGCAGATATATACAACCATATATATATACATATTGCATGCCTGGCATATAACTGTGTATATAAATACATATGGTCTATACATAGGCTATAAAAGTCTTCTGGCATCCTCTTATTACAAGCAAAGTAACTTAAAAGGCCTTGAGGGCATACCAAGATGATCTCTGAGCATGTATCACCTGTTTCCATAAGCTGCCAGTCCTTAGAAATCACTGTGTCTCTGGCTGAAAGAGACAGACAGCAAGTGCTTGTGTTGATTCCTGTTAGTAAAAGTAAACGGGCTCACATCAAGGGCTGCAAGGTGCTGTGGCACAGCACCAGTCCCAAACCCAGGGATAACTGAGCTGTTCTTTGTCTAACAGGTGTCATGTTACTGCTGCAAGACTTGCATACACAAGTGATACGTTGAAATCAACAGTACAATGATTTGCAGATGGTTTTACCAATATTTTCCTCTGTCTACATGAGACTTCAATAAAATTCAGTCCTAAGAAGTTAGGAACTATGGATGAAACGTAGAAGATCTAGACATTTCACAGAATCACAGAATGGCTTGGGTTGGAAGGAACCCTAAACATTATCTAGTCCAACCTCCCTCTGCCATGGGGATGGACACCTTCCACTACCCCAGCTTGCTCAAGGCTCCATCCAACCTGGTCCTGAAAACTTCCAGGGATGGGGCATTCACAGCTTCCCTGGGCAAGCTGTTCCAGCGCCTCACCACCCTCCCACTAAAGAATTTCTTCCTAAAACCTAACCTAAATCTACACTCCTTCAGTTTAAAGTCATTCTCCCTTGTCCTGTCACTACATGACTCTGTAAAAGATCCCTGTCTAACTTTCTTGTAGGCCCCCTTTAGGCATTGGAATTGAGGCTCTCCCCAGAGCCTTCTCTTCTCCTGCCTCAACAAACCCAACTCTGTCAGCCTGTCTCCATAGGGGAGGGACTCCCACCCCCTGACCATCTCCATGGCCCTCCATGGACTCTGTCCAGCAGGTCCATATCTTTTTTGGTGTTGGGGGGCCCAGAGCTGAACAGAACACTCCAGCTGGGTTGTGACAAGAGTGGAGCTCAGAAATGAAATACCTCCCTTGACCTGCTAGTCAGTGAAATGTAGAACAAAACCCCAACCCTTTGCATTTAAAATGTTGGGTTTATATACAACATCAATATGTATTGATTTTCAGACTAGATGTAAAGAAGACACTTTTTTTTTGTGATGAGATTGGCGAAACACTGGAACTGAACCCAGAGAAGTGGTGGATACTGCATCCCTGGAAACATTGAAGGTCAGATTGAATGGGACTCCAAAAAACCTAATCCAGTGGAAGATGTTCCTGTTTATTGTAAAGGGTTAAAGGGAACTAGATGGCCTCTAAAGGTCCCCTCCAATCAAACTTATTCTATGAATCTGTGAATCCACATACACATAAAAATATGTATAAAATTTTGCAACAGAACACAAAATACACTTACATTGTTCATCATAAAGGAATTATTTGTAAAACTTCACCAATTTGCTTTGCAGATGAGATTTTCACATCAGAAGACAATTATTTTATGAAACCTCTATAAGTACAAACTCAGAAGATTTAGACACTCAATCTCAGCATACTTAATTTCAGCATAAATTGTACAGCACTATCATTCAGGTGTAGGGAATGCACAGAGGGCACAAAATACGACACTGAAATCAAATATACTCCCAGAGTAACCACACTGAAGGTTAAACAATACAGTGGAATTAAAAGCTGATGTCTGCAATAAAAACTGCAGCTCAAATTTCAGCCACCTCTTATCCTCCCACAAAGTTGTTCACTGAACGCCTCAGATGTTTTTTTGTACTGCATAGCCAAGGCAGGACAGTACTGTACCATGAGTGTTATATCAAAAATTAAACACCCATTGGCAAAGAAGTGAAAACACTAAATTAAGAGGCAGTTTCCTGTGCCCATGCTATAGTAAATCTTTGTAAAAGGAGCTTTCTATGTAGGCATTTATTCCCTGCTGAGGGAATGAAATACATAGATTTGACCTATCAGGAAAAAATCAGCTGCCATTCCAACAACTTTATTTTACATATCAGATCAGTTAGTCCTCACATTTTTTTAGAGAGGAAAACTCTTCTAATTGACCATGAATAAGGAGTAATTGTTTGGGAAAGGTCACATTGCCATGAGACATTTTCCTAGTGGGTTTGCATTAATGAGCAGGCCCAGAATGTTGTACATTAAGAGGTCCTGGCATTTCTTTCATTCATGAACATTGTAATAAGCACTGACATATTTTCCAAGTCCACTGGTGGGTATTCTGTACATGTTCTGTATATGAAAGTTAGTGTTACAATGTCTGTGTATATATTTGCATACTCACTGTCTGAAAAAAATAACCAAAGGAGGGAAAAGTGTGCAGTTAAGAGACGGGTTCATAATACAGAGTAAGAATCACCTTGTGTGCAGCTCTGCTGATACCAGTAGCAGATGGATACAGAAAGTAGCTGCATTCAAATTTACATATTTGGTTGGTTCCTGAAATGTCACTAAATCCCTGGACACAGGACTGCTGTGTACAGACAAAGTGCTGAATTTATATTCCAGGCCTTTAATTTTTAACTAGGGCACAAGTAATATGAGGATTAAGAGAATTAAGAGAAGAGGATCATTAACTTAATGTGTCACAACAAGTGCCTCCCAACACATAATTGCTGATTACATTCATCTTTCTAACTGTAAAGCCAAGCCAGAAGAGCCAATGGTCTGACTGTCATTCTGTCTGTCTGTATGGACCCTTCAGAAGCAAGCCTCAATGTCCAATAAATCCACAGAACTCTTTCTCCACTGACTCCAGGGAACCTGAGTTCACTGGGAATGCACACTATCTCTCCTCCATCTCCTAAAAGCTCTTTATTAACCTTTTTCCTTAGCATTCAGACTTTTCATAGGACAGCCTGAGAATGCATCTCTAGCTCTGCCACTCACTCCACTACTGTGGTGCTCTGTGTAACTTATAGAAGCCTCAATCTTATTTTGAAAATTTCCATGCCTTGCAGCTGTGCTTCATTATCAGTCTTCTCAGCATCAAAGATGCAAATAAATGCCATTCTCACATGATGTCACAAGAAGAATATTTCTATCTCAATAAAATACTGCTTAGTAATGGTAATCTTCTCTCATCATTCTCAGGACTATTCACTTCTACCTGACACTGAAAAAGAGTAAGATAAAAATTATGAAATCAAGACCTGAAAATCTAAACCACTACAGAATTCAGGGCACTAAGCAGCCAAAATTTACTAATCCTGTCTATGTTCATTATGAATGAATGATGCTTCTTTAGCTATCTCCACATGGGTATCAAGGCCAACCCTCTGTTCAGTACCAGAAAACCCTTTTTTACTGACTTTCCTGCTTAGCTAAATAATTTGTGAAGGGGAATGGATTGTGTGTTTGATTTGGGATGTGTGCTCCCAAACTGAGTTATGACATTGCCCTCATCTCATTGGGATCTTTACCATGATTTCTTTTTGGGAGGTCAGTAGTATTATTTACTTCTGCAATGACTGAAGAAATAAAAAGCAAAGAACTCTTCACTTGTTCCTCCAAGATGCATAAGGATTAAGAGCAAACCATTAAGAGCAAAGCCAAGCCCTGACCACTTTTATTGCTCTGTTGCT